TTTCATTGTGACCCACCAGAGGATGAAGCTTTCTGCCTTTTTGGGTTTTGTTTTATTTTGTTTGGGCTATAACTAAAAGTTGAAAAATAAATTTTTACATTCATTATTGATTTCCAACAGTTACCAATCGCCAAGAGATCCAAAAGTCTTTGTGTATGTTTAATTAGGATTCATCCTAAAAGGTAAAGATTGTTGGCTTACAGTCGGGAAATTGCAATAGGGAAAAGTTGACTTGTTTTCTCTAAAACTAATGAATGAATTACAGCATAGAAACAGGGACGGCAAGCTCATATGCATTGGATCATTTCCAAAGTGCCTGAATCAGCTGGCCACAGGAGCTCAGTCCAGGTCCCCTACGTCAGTGGCAGGCACCCTATCATTTGAGCCATCACTGCTTAATCCCCAGGGTTGAGTCTGTAGTAGCCGGAAGTTGGAGTCTGGGACCAGAGCCAGATCAATCCCAGATGCTCACTGCCTGTGGGACGGGGCTATCTTAACTGCTAAGAGAGACTCCCACCCAGCCCACTGCTGGTGTTCTATTTCCCTGAACTACTCTTTGAATTAAGAGGGATAAGCAAGGGCAGCTTTCTACAGAAATAATCATTGACTTGTTTCTGCTTAGAGAGCAGAGTCCTTGCAGCTTGAAGGCAGTTGACCTTGTTCCTTTGTGTCTGCTTGCCTGCCAGAGATAGGAAGGACAGTGTGCCTGTGAGATGGGGCTTTCTTAGGAGGCCGCCTAAAATGGCCGCTCCTCTGGGGAGAAAGGCCTGGAGGTGAATGGTAGTACTGGTTTCACAACACTAAGTGTATTTAGTACCACTGAATTGTCCAAATTTGTAAAAGTTGTGTTATATATGTTTTGCTACCAAAAGCCAACAGTAAGTGGCAGCATGACCAAGGACTCGCACCCCATGATAGTTGGTTCAGAAGGTGGAAGTAGATGGGCCAGTATGTTGTGGCTGAACAAAGTGGCCAACTGTTACCGTCAAACTTGTAAGTTTGAGAATCACAGCATTTGAGTGACTTTTTCTTAATCCTGAGAGCGATGAACAACTGTGGAAGACTTTCAGACTTCTCATCTCTGCATAACTGCATACTTGCCTTAGTGAGAAACTTTGACCACGTCAGGGGTAAAATTGCAGTGTTCTGGGAGTGCCATGTAAGTAGTATTTCACAAATGAATGTCCCATTAAAATGGCTGAATTTCATTACCACATGCTCCCATTTTTGTTTTTCCTTTTTACCCTAAGTCAGTTTTTCCTAAAGGTTTATGTGTTGTTATTTGAAAGATTTTAGACAGAGAGGAGAGATAGAGAAGGTCTTCCATCCACTGATTCACTATGCAAGTGGCCGCAGTGATCAGAGCTGAGCTGATCTGAAGCCAGGAGCCTGGTTATTAACTGATTGCTAAGCTCCTAAAAAGAGACTTGTGGCCACAGAAAGAGGGGAATAGTGAACAGCTGTGTGCCATCCACTGCTTCACTTCCTAAATGGCCTGAGTGGGGCCAGCCCAAAGCCAGTAACTAGAACTGCATTCTGGTCTCCCCTGTGAGCGGCAGGAGCCCACTTAGGTCATCTTCTGTGACTTTCCCAGTTATACTAGCAGAAAACTGGATCACAAAAGGGGCAGCTGAGATAGGAACCAGCGTTCATTTGAGATTCCGGCATCAGACAGTGGCTTAAATCACTGCATCACAATGCCACCCCCAAGGGCATCATTCTTAAGGCAGTATTCTGTACACTGGTCTCTAGATTCAGTACAATCCTAAAAGTAGTCCTGGCTGAGTTCTTTAGAGAAGCTGACATGCGGATGTTCAAGTTCATCAGGAAATTCGAGAGAGCCCAAGTAGGTAGGCCAGGGTGGGCATCTGGCACAGCATCTGAAAAGGCTACAGGGAACACATACATCCCAAACTGAAGTCCCAACTCTGCTTGAAGTTTTAGCTTGCTGCTAAACTGGGAGACAGCAGATGATACCCCAGGGTCCCTGCCAACCACATGGGAAGCCCAGGTTGAATCGAAGGCTTCTGCCTTCAGCCTGATCCAGCCCTAACTGTTGCAGGCATTGGGGAAGTACGTGGAAGATCCAATGTATGGATGATTCCTGTTTCTCAAATTTAAAATAATAATAACTTTTTAAAAATAAGCCTCCTTCCAAGATTTCCAACAGCTTTTCATCTTTGAAACCAGAGCTCCTTCAAAGAATGTGTGATTTTGAGGTGGGAAACATTCCAAATAGTCTAGCAGTTAAAATGCCAGTCAAGGTACCCAGAGAGCAGAATACCTGTGTTTGCTGCATGTCTCGGGCTGTCGACTCCAGCCACGGAAATGGATCCCAGTGATTGGGTTCTTGCCACCCATGCAGATGACCTGTGTTGATTCCCAGCTCCTGGCCACAGCCACAGTCCAGCCCTGATCTTGTGGGCAGTTGGGGGAGTGAACCAGCAGTTGGGAGTACTTAACCCTGTCTGTTTGTACCTCACAGCTAAATAGTTTGGGAACATCTTGTTAGAAAGTAAGGAAGGTGTCAGTGACCACTGAGTACATGCTGAAAGGATTCGGGAGTCAGCCTAGTAGGGTTCCCAGTGGCTAAAAATAGCAACATTTTAATATTTAAAAGAGTAACTGAAGTGGACTGGACTGTATCGTGTGTTATAGTGTGAAAGTTTCTATGCTTCTTTCAAGCAAAGATTATCTTGCAAAGTATAAGGGAAGCCAAATTTGTTAATTTAAAAAGTTGTGGGCCCAATGGTGTGGCCTAGCAGCTAAAGTCCTCACCTTGAACGCGCCGGGATCCCATATGGGCGCTGGTTCTAGTCCCGGCAGCTCCACTTCCCATCCAGCTCCCTGCTTGTGGCCTGGGAAAGCAGTCGAGGATGACCCAGGGCTTTGGAACCCTGCACCCATGTGGGATACCTGGAAGGGGTTCCTGGATCCTGGCTTCGGATCAGCACAGCATCAACCGTTGCGCTCACTTGGGGAGCGAATGATCGGACGAAGATCTTCCTCTCTGTCTCTCCTCCTCTTTGTATATCTGACTTTCCAATAAATAAATAAATCTTTTTTTTAAAAAAGTTGTAAGAAAGAACCACACATGCATTCCACATTTCCTATGTATCTTATACCTTAGGGGCCTGGCATGGTAGCCTAGTGGCTCAAAGTCCTCACCTTACTCGTGCCGGGATCCCATATGGGTGCCGGTTCTAAAGACAGCGGCCCTGTTTCCCATCCAGCTCCCTGCTTGTGGCCTGGGAAAGCAGTTGAGGACAGTCCAAAGCCTTGGGACCCTGCACCCGTGTAGGAGACCAGGAAGAGTCTCCTGACTTCAGATTGGCTCAGCTCCAGGCATTGCAGTCACTTGGGGAGTAAATCAGTTGATATAAGATCTTCCTCTATCTCTCCTCCTCTCTGTATATCTAACTTTCCAACAAAAGTTAAATAAATCTGTGTGTGTGTGTGTATCTTATATCTTAGGATAGCCAAACAGTTATGAAAAAGAATAGCATAGCTTGCAATGGAGCAAGGTAACAATTACATTTGCTGAAAACCTTAGATGAGAGGTTGACAAGGTGCTTTGTAAAGGGCAAATCAAGCTGGGTGCAGCTACTGGTCAGTACCACACAGAGTGACGTGACTGACATACCCCCTTGAGATGCAACAGGTAGTACAAGGTACCACTTAGGATATGTTGCCAGTGACTCACTGGATTCTTCTCAAACCTCAAAAATCTGCCTATAAGAAATAGAAGAGTTAGAAAACTGTTTTAGGCAACAACTTGGGGAACAGAATATAGCATAAGGGAAACTATAGGACTGAAAATCTGGTTTCTTCAACAAATAAGTGGCAAGAAAAAAAAGTTTAAAAGGGAGAGTAGACCTATAGACTTACAGAAATGTGGAGATCCTTAGCCTTATTCATTGTAGCTATTTTGAATATATCAACTGTATAAAAACCAATGAGCCTGTCTAGGAAATGTAACATGCTTTGATTATTTTAAGAATATTTATTTTATTTTTTTTTTTATTAGAAAGGCAGATATGCAGAGAGCAGATACAGAGAGAAAGATCCTCCGTCCACTCATTCACTCCCCACGTAGCATCAGCAGCCAGAGCTGAGCCAATACATACAGCCAGGAGCTTCTGGGTCTCCCCAACAAATACAGGGTCCTAAGGCTTTAGGTCATCCTCTACTGCTTTCCCAGGTCTCAAGAATGGAGCTGGGTGGGAAGTGGAGCAGCCAGGATATGAACCAGTACTCATATAGGGTCCTGTCAGATGCAAGGTGAGGATTTAGCCACTACTCTATCATGCCAGGCCCATGATTTGATTTTAATATACTGATCTTAAGGAGATAGTAATCCACTCAGGGATCCAAAAGTGAATAGTGTTAGGCCCAGTGCGGTAGCTTAGCAGCTAAAGTCCTCGCCTTGCATGTTCCGGGATCCCATATGGGTACCAGTTCTAACCCCGGAGGCTCCACTTCCCATCCAGCTCCCCGCTTGTGGCCTGGGAAAGCAGTTGCACCTGCGTGAGAGATCCGGAAGAACTCCTGGCTCTTGGCTATGGAGCAGCTCAGCTCTGACCATTGCAGCTGCTTGAGGAGTAAATCATTGAATGGAAGATAGCTTGTATATCTTGCATATAATGTAACATATTCACTTTCCTCTTTTTTTTTTCCTCCTAGTATATTTTCCTGAGATAACATTTTAAATTTACATTATAGTCACAGGCTTAGTAGCACCAATTAAGGAGTTCAACAAATGGTAAGTGCAAGACCATAATCTATCAGGAAACTAGGCAGGTGCTATAGACAATAATCAATGAAAAGATGTTCATCTTCACTCACATCTGATCATTACTATCAGAGTGTTAGACAAACATTAGAAGCAAAACTGGCAAGACAGTGTTGTTTGCGACAGGACTGGTATTTGTCTAAATGAGCTACTTGAAATGCAGAACTTGCTTGCATTTCTCAACCATCCGATTCTCCTCGTTTTCTAGGAAACTGTTTTAGGTTATTTGAAAGAGATGCTTGCTCGTCGCTGGGACTCACCAGAAACTCCGCTGTGAAGAGAATAAGTGAATTTTGCACCAAACCACAAGAAACTTCTAAAGCTTCATCCAGTGAGTGTTGTATTGTTTTTGTTTGTTTGTTTTGGAGTAGATAGCTCCTGAGGAGTTGAAAGGAGAGCTACGTCCCAGGGTTTCTGCTTCCCACCTCGTCATCCGGTTCAGGCCCCGCCCCCTTGTCCTCAGACTGTATGTGCTCCTGTACATGCGGGCCTTTCTTCATTTCTCATACTCATCTCTGTTTGATTATTGGGGTTTATTTGAGTGCAGATGTACTCAACTTAGATATGCTCTGGAAGTTATCTTGTAAGGAACCCCAGAAATGGAAACCAAATGAAGGCTAAGTTTGGGGTACAATATAGCTAGAGCTAAGCTCTTGCTACAGAGTTGACTTCAGCTGTGCCCAGCCTTTCCCCAAGTCAAACCCAGTCTCTGTGAGAACCCTGGGCAGGAGGAGCGTGCAGAGAACTGTGGAGTCCAGGGTGATGTGGCACTCTTTGTGGGAGTGCACTTGGCCGGGCAGGTTTTGGTGAGGGGAAAGAACCATCCCTAAAGAATAGTCATCAGGTGACTGACCGTGTGGTGCAGCAGTGTTGGACTGCAGCTTATGACACTTGCACCCCATACTGCAGCACCAGTGGGAGTCCCAGCTGCTCTACTTCCAGTCCAGCTTCTTCTAATGCCCCTAGAATCCAGCAGAAGATGGTCCTAGTACCCGGGCCCTTGCCACCCATGTGGGAGACTAGAGCGAAGTTCCTGGCTTGTAGCTTCAGCCTGGGCATTCAAATAGCTAGCAGATGGAAGATCCCCCTCTCTCATTCTGTCTCTCTGTGTTGTTCTTTCAAAATAAATAAATCTTTTACAAAATACATCAAAAGGTTAAAATGGTTATGCCTTTCAACTTGATATTTCACTCCAGTATCTAATGTGTCCTAAGAGATAATTGCCATATGTGGAAAATTCTTTTGAGTATGAAGTTGCTCCCAAATGTTATTTATAATGGGGAATTAGAATGAAATCTAGGGGCCGGCACCATGGCCTAGTGGCTGGGATCCTTGCCTTGAACGCGCGGGGTCCCATATGGGCACCAGGTCTGGTCCCGGTGGCTCCGCTTCCCATCCAGCTCCCTGCTTATGGCCTGGGAGAGCGGTCTAGGATGACCCAGGGCCTTGGGACCCTGCGGCTGCGTGGGAGACCTGGAGGAGCTCCAGGATCCTGGCTTCAGATCGGCATGGTACTGCCCATTGTGCTCACTTGGGGAGTGAATCATCGGACAGAGGATCTTTCTCTCCGTCTCTCCTCCTCTCTGCATATCTGACTTTGTAATAAAAATAAAATAAATCCTTTTTTAAAAAAATTAAATCTAAATGTCACACAGTGAAGGCTAGATCTGTTTTGATAAGATATTACACAGCTCTTGGAAATGTTACTGACAAATACCAGGTACCAGAGTTGGGAAGATTACAGTATCTGAGCAAAGCAGGATAAAAAATTTTATATTGCATATAAGCATATGCGTGATTCCCACACATCAGACATATAATCATCCACACTTACGAGCATGGAGACATTCTCTGTGTGGTTACCCAACTTTTATGCTTCCTGTCTTCAGTGACTACCCCCTTCGTTCTTTGAGGGGGCAAAAAAACAAAGGCATCTCAAGAAATTCCATCCAAACAAAGCTCCTCATTGTTTCTATTCAGTGAGTTCTTTTGAAAGCATAAGCAGCATTTTTCTTTGATTACATTTGAGGGCCATACTCTAGGCGGAGTACCGATTCTCCTGTCTGGCTTTTCCCACAGACACCTACACCCACAGAGTACCACTGCACAAGCCTACGGACTGGGAAAGGAAGATCCTCATCTGGTCAGGTCGCTTCAAAAAGGAGGAGGATATCCCGGAGACGATCTCGTGAGTGCTCGGCTTAGCCTGGGAAACAGCTTTCATCTCCCGCTCGTCTGTGTCAAGGGCAAGACACTTCCCACATATCCAAGTACTAGGCACTGGGCAGCTGCCTGGGGTGACATCGGTGCCAGTCACCTGCCCTGCCACTCACTGGGATATTAGGCAGTGCTAACGAAGAGCCTCAGTTACCTTCGTTCGATGTCATGCCCCAGCTACAGAAACGTGAGGAAGCATACTTCATGTGCCCGTTTGTTGTTTTGAGCCTAGGTATATCAAGTCGGTCACAGCGACAGCAACGATTTACATAAAATCCACTCGGCCTCAGATATGAAGCAGTTCAGTGTGATGCATTTTTCTCTGAGTCCAGGGAAGAGTGCTCCTTTCTGTCATCACTTCCTTTAAGTCCGGTGTTAGTGGGGGTCCTGGGCATTTTCTAAGTTTGCAGCAGACGAGAACAGGTGTTCCCCAAGTCGGGGTTTCTCAGCCTCAGTGCTGCTGACACGTGGGGCCAGACCGTGTGCTAGAGGATTGGAGCAGCGTTCCTAGCCCTCATCCCTAGATGCCATGAGTTCTCCCCTCATGGGATGCGGGGCTGCCAGAATCAGAACTGGCACCCATATGGAATCCCGGCATGTTCAAGGCAAGGACTTTAGCCACTAGGCCACTGTGCCAGGCCTCCTTACATCATTTTTAAAGAATTGTTTACCTCTTGTTTCTTCCCCACTGTTTTTAAAGTAATGTATGTTCAACATTGGAGAGACTGTGGGAACAAAAAAAGCACTGTAATCCCATTATATAATCCCTTCCTATTTGTACCCCTATGCAGACTTCATGTGGTCTGCCTCGTTGACTATACTAGATACCCAGGTAATAGAAACCCAGTACACCTGCAGAATCAGGTGCCAGGGGCCTTCTCTTTAGGCTGTGAGACCAATATGTTCCTGATTCAAGACAGCAGAAAGCTGGCTGTAGGTGTAGGGACTTCCAAAAAATTGTGGAAAAATGGAATTCAAGGTTAAGCACAGAGATCTTGAAATCCATGCAGTTTTTCATAGTATGCATTTTTCATGAACTTTTAAAGACCCTGTGTTATTCTCCTGTGATATTGTTGTGTTTTTGCTTTTTAAATTGAACTCTGTTAAAACTCAACAAGCTCATTGCATTATCTGTCATCAGGACATCGTGTGGCTATCATATTATGTAGCGTTGCCTTATGGAGAAATAGTGGCTGCTCAAAAAGCAGAGTCAGAATTGGGTCCAGCAGAGTCAGCAAAGACTAACGTGCCTTGCCTTTTTGTTTGAGTTTCTGCCTTTCTGTCTTCACACTTCCTCCTTCCTTCTTTCACATTAATGCTTTAGGCTGGTGCTGTCTCACTGTTTTTGTATGTAAATAGTAATGAAATGTCCCAATCTCTCTAAGGTCCTAAGAACCACCACTGCCCTTCTAACTTGTGGCACACAGAGCTTTTCCTTCTGCTGCAGTTCAGAGAAATGTTGTTTCATGGCCTCCCTGTATCATTAGGTTCGAGATGCTTGATGCTGCGAAGAACAAGATCCGCGTGAAGATCAGCTACATAATGATTGCCCTGACGGTGGCCGGCTGCATCCTGATGATCATTGAGGGCAAGAAGGTGAGTGTGGGCTTCCTGTCTGCATGTTCTCCACAAAGGACTGGCCCTCAGAGTTACTCTCTGAGAAAAGGAGGCCTTTTAAAGATTTATTGTATTAGAAAGTTAGATAGAGAGGAAGATCTTCCATCTGATGATTTGCTCCCAAAACGGCTGCTACGGCCGGAGCTGAGCCGATCCGAAGTCAGTGGCCAGGAGCCTGCTCTGGGTCTCCCACGCAGGTGCAGGGTCCCAAGGCTTTGGGCGAGGGGAAAGGTGTGGTGCTTCTCCCTGAGCTTGAGTGCAAGGCACATGGAGGGCAGTGATGTGCCCGTGACCCCAGCAGCTCCCTGCCCCCAGCCCAGGCTGTGCTGGCTAACTGCTTTCATGACCACGTAGTAATGACACCCTCCTAAAGCAGCACAAATAACCACCTATTCTAATTTATTACACTTCAGGCTATGAAAAGAAACGAGTCTTTAACAAGCTTGAACCTGGAAAAGAAAGCTCGTCTGAGAGAAGAAGCAGCTATGAAGGCCAAAGCTGAGTAGCAAAGGTATTCATGTTCGGCTGGATTTTGAAAATCCAGGAATCATGTTGCAGCACCAAGCCCGTGTTGAAAACACTGTGGGATGAGGCTTCGTCCCACAAATATGTTTTGCACAAATTTATACTCTCTCCCTATTTCTGTTCCAGAGGTACAAATAAATTTTCTTGCAGAATGACTTGCCTATGTTTTATAACTTTGATCCAAGTAAAATGTAACCTACCTTTCGGCTTTTGGAGAAAATAAAAGATGAGAATTTATTTCAACTTTAAATTCTTTACAGAATCAAGTACTGTCTTCACATCTTACTTTTATTCTCTTTAACACAGCAACTTTTCTCCAGAGGCCAAAATAGAGTCTCATCCTTTGTCTCTGTCCTGTGTAAAGCCAGCCTTCCTCGATGCCAGGGTGCTTGCACAGAGCCTGGCTTCAGAGGCAGCCGTGTCTCCCGCTGTGGGTCTCCAAGTTGCCTGGCAGCCAAAGACACCGAGAAGATGCTCTTTCAATATAAAAATGTAAACGCAGCAAGGTGAACATGTTGTCTGGCCGGGATTTCTGAGGACTCAAATCCCAACACTGTGGGATTCTTTCAACTCTGTGCCTAAAAGTCCCCTCCGGGCCCCCCCATCCCTTCCTGCCACCTAAGAAACTAAACTGCTTAGTCACAAAGTCTCATCTATTTCTTACTGAGAGACCAGCATATATCGTGTATATCTTACTCTCTAGACTTTGGGCCTCCAAGTTGTCTCCTCTTTAGGTATGGTTGCTGGTTCCTATTTTAAACGTGTATTTATTCTCACATGCCTCCTAAGTATTCCTGGGTGGCAAGGTGTTCTAGCCAACCCAATGTGCTCATCACCTGCAGAGTTAGATTAAAAAGTCACCTGTATAGCTGTTTGGGAAGTTGTTTTACTAAGCTACTATGCAGAACATAACCCAGCACCCGCAGCTCAGACGCCACCTGGTGGTCATAACGCCTCTGCACACTTTACAGCAGCTGCAACTTAGCTTTTTCAAGCATCAAGTGCTCTGAGCTTTCTCATTCATTTTCCTGGATTTTTTTAGGACACCTATATAAATATGGGTAAGTTAAGTTTTAATGTGCCATTTTTAACTGTTGAAAAGCATTTCAAAGCCTGTACCTTGGGGATTCACTGTAATAAAAACATTTTACTCAACTACAACTGACAACTGTCATTATGCTTCCAAGAATTTTTACAATCCCATCCCATTCTGTATATTCTCCTATTTGTTGATATAGTGATTTTTTTTAAAGATTTATTTATTTTTATTGGAAAGGCAGATGTACAGAGAGGAGAGAGGGAGAGGAAGATCTTCCGTCCGATGGATCACTCCCCAAGTGAGCGCAACGGCTTGAGTTGTGCCAATCCGAAGCCAGGAGCCTCTTCCGGGTCTCCCATGCGGGTACAGGGTCCCATAGTCTTGGCCGTCCTCGACTGCCTTCCCTGGCCACAAGCAGGGAGTTGGATGGGAAATAGAGCTGCCAGGATTAGAACTGGTACTCATATAGGATCCCAGCGCATCAAAGACAAGGACTTTAACCGCTATGCTATCACACCGGGCCCCCTATAGTGATTGTTTCATTAAGTGTTCAGTATAAATTTCTTGGCCAGACCTGTCCCTAACTGATCTTGCTTCTCTCAGCATCTTCAAATGCCAACCTCTGTGCAGTTACCTTCTACTGGCTCGAACTATCTTAGATTCTCAGAATGTGTCAAACACACACAATTTAATGAATGCTATAAAGCATTATAAAATACATAAGTCAGATGGGGATCAGATTATTGGGTCACAGGGTGAAAACTGATGTGCCTAGAAGCAGAACTGAAAAGCAGCTTCTCTTCAGAGCATCTTTTTTCATATATTACATAATGACAGCCATAAAATGGGCAATATCACATAGAATTATCTAGAAATATTTATTTCCCATCCAAAATGACTATATTGCAAAGCAGAGCTTGCTTTACAGGAGATGGCTGGGCAGGTAGTAATATTAAGTACCGTCCTTTGTGGACATCCTTGTGAACATACAAAACCTGTCCTTGGCCACCATAAGAAATTTGATTTTTTTTTTAATATTTATTTTTATTGGAAAGGCAGATATACAAAGAGGAGGAGAGACAGAGGAAGATCTTCCATCTGATGGTTCACTCCCTAAGTGACCACAATGGCTGCAGCTGAGCCAACCTGAAGCCAGCATACTTCCTGGTCTCCCACGGGGGTGCAGGGTCCCAAGGCTTTGGGCCGTCCTCGACTGCTTTCCAGGCCACAAGCAGGGAGCTGGATGGGAAGCGGGGTCGCCAGGATTAGAACCGGCGTGTGCACGGCGAGGACTTTAACCACTATTTTATCGCACCGGGAGGAAATTGGATCTTCTAGTTTACATTATCCTGAGACTCTCCTGAGAATCAGAGATGCCATCCTGTGCCTGTGGACCATTGGAGAAATGCACTCCTTCATGTTAATATAGTTACTTTCAGTTAAATTATTGCTGTCCTATATTTTGTGTGTTTAGCATGAATTTATAGGTTAGGTAGGCAGAAACCACTTTCTACTTTATATTCCTTTAAGTTACTATGTGAATCTATACCTGGATCCTTTTTTTTCTTTTTTTTTTTTTTATTTTTATTGGAAAGGCGGATAGACAGAAAGGAAGACCTTCCGTCCGATGATTCACTCCCCAAGTGAGCGCAACGGCCGATGCTATGCTGATCCGAAACCAGGAGCCTCCTCCGGGTCTCCCACATGGGTGCAGTGCTCCAAAGCTTTGGGCCGTCTTCGACTGCTTTCCCGGGCCACAGCAGGGAGCTGGATGGGAAGAGGGGCCGCCAGGACCAGAACCGGCGCCCATATGGGATCCCGGGCGTGCAAGGCAAGGACCTTAACCACTGCGCCACCGCGCCGGACCCTTTTTTTTTTAAAGATTAATTTATTTTCGACCTGGCAGCATGGCCTACCGGCTAAAGTTCTCACCTTGAACGCGCCAGGATCCCATATGGGCGCTGGTTCTAATCCTAGCAGCTCCACTTCCCATCCAGCTCCCTGCTTGTAGCCTGGGAAAGCAGTTGAGGTCTGCCCAATGCTTTGGGATCCTGCACCTGTGGGGGAGACCTGGAAAAAAGTTGGTACCCGGCTTCAGATTGGCGCAGCACCGACCATTGCGCTCACTTGGGGAGTGAATCATTGGATGGAAACCCTTCCTCTCTGTCTCCTCCTCTCTGTATATTTGACTTTGTAATAAAAATAAATCTTTTTAAAAAACAGATTAATTTATTTTTATTGCAAAGTCAGGCAGAGAGGAAGAGTTTCTGTGTGCTGATTCACTCCCCAAGTGGCTGCAACAGCAGGAGCTGAGTCAATCTGAAGCCAGGAGCCTGGAACTTCTGGGTCTCCCACATGGGTGCAGGATCCCAGTTCCTTAGGCTGTCCTCGACTGGTTTCCCATTCCACAAGCAGGAAGCTGGTTGGGAAATGGAATGGCTAGGATTAGAACCAGTGCCCATTTGGGATCCTGGCAGGAGCAAAGTAGAGACTCTAGCCACTAGGCTATGGTACCAGGCCGATGGCTGGGTAAGTTAACATAATAATTGGTATATTATCAAAAACCAGGCAAGAAGTACGGCGTGCTGTCGGATATCATTCATTGTTATTCATCCAGCATGACCCAACTACTTTTTCTGCACACAAGATCAAGGATACAGAGATGACCAAGACACACTTTCCAATTCCAGAGACTACCACCAAGTGGAAATTGATCCATGAAACTATCACAGTACAAGCTGGTAAATACTGTATTTTGAACCATGTAGCAGAAGCTATGGACGCAGACGGAAACCCCAGCTTGGCTGTCCACTGAGCTACGGGCTCCACAAGTGGCGCATTCTGAACTGAGAATGAAGTACCGGGAGGCGTGGGGTAAACAAGGAAGCGGAGCACACTCACCCTGCGGGCATTTCACCGGCCTCCCACTCCCAAGGTGGCACGACACAGCAGCTGAGAGCCGCTTCCTGAAATGCCTGGTCGTGACTGTCTCCGTTTACAGATTGGAGTCTACCCAAAGCGTGTGGTGGCATCTGGTACGTATTTCAGTCCTTCATCCTCATCCCAAACCTCTCTCGTTCGTCGGATCCTTCCAAACAGAAACCCTGGCATTACTTCAAACTCCCTTGCTTTCCTTAAATCAGCCTTACTTGTAAGCATTTCCCAAGTATACCAAGCTTCCAGTCATTAGAACAAAATAAGAAACCGTATACACAAGAGAGACAAATGATGACACTCAGAAGTCACAAGCTCTCTGTCACAGACTGGCTTTCCCAGCTCTTAAAATCAGGAAGCAGAGGACAGCAAGAGTGCTAGGGTTAAAATGGGAACCAATTATCAGATGAACTATCCCCATGTGTGTTAGCTACAGCTGTGACCAGCTTGGGGAGTCTGATGTGGGACCCAAGCATCTTAACTACGGAACTAAACACCTGCTCCTTCATGTCATTTTCAAAGTTTAGGTTATATATTTCAAAATCTTACAATCAAAACTTCTAAAAGATGTGCAAAACCATACCGCAGGGAAGGGAAAGTACCTTTCCAAATGTTTGTTAACCTGGCTCTTAACACCTGACTCCAGTCAGGTTTAGTATTTACTCATCCACAGCTTAATTGTTCTGTCATTTCCTAATGCTGCGGATGCAATCATGTTTTCTGTAGGATGACAAGCTACCGAGATCACGACGTCCGTGTGGCCTTGCAATGTCTGGACAATCTCTTTAGTTTGCAGGTTCCAGATGTAAACCAGGTGGTCCTCAGAACCAGACACAATCCACTTTCCAGCAGTAACTGAGAAATTCGCGAATATACAGTATTTCTCATTTTTATGACCCTTGTATGTCTTCAGGCATCTGCCTCTGCTATAATCCCACAGTTTCAAAGTATTGTCCAGAGTTGCCGTGAGAATATATTTGCCATTTGGAGAGAATTTTACAAAAGACACAGGAGGGTTAACATTGTCCACAAGCATTTTTAAACACTGACCCGATGCTGCATCCCAGATCCTACAGAGACCATCGTAGCTCCCTGACACTATCAAGGACCCACTGCAATTAAAGTGGACAGCAGACACGGGGTCAGAATGGGCAGACAAAGTCTTAAGGCACCTCCCTGTTTCCACCTCCCATATTTTCACACTCTCGTCAAAAGACCCTGAAACGATGAGGTTGGATGCTGGGTTGAAATTACAGCAGAAGACGTAATTGGTATGCCCCCGTAACGTCTGCAAACATGTCCCAGATCTCACATCCCACATCTTTAGAGTTTTGTCATCTGAAGCAGAAACAAGCCGACTGGAGTCTGACGACCAAGCAACATCTGATATCTCCAGCCTGTGGCCGGACAGGGTCTGTTCGTGTTTTCCATCATAGGCGCCCCAAATCATAATGCGCGCATCGGCAGAGGCACTGGCCAGCCACTGGCCGTTAGGGCTGAACTGCACGGCGGACACCGCCTGGGCGTGTCCGGTCAGAGTGAGCCGGAGCGCGTAGCCGGGCCTGCCCGGAGCTTCCGCCGGCTGCGGGGCTGGCGAGACGGCCGAGTCCACTTCGGCATCTCCTGACCCACCTGCAGCCATGGCCGAGAGACCGGTGGGCCAGTGTGCTCTCTGTCCAGGGAGACGGAAATAACACATGGATTGTAAAACGGCTTGAAGTGGTAACTTCTGGATCGCCTTAACTATGACATCAGTATGACGTCAGCCGCGGAATCCGCAGTGTGGCTCGGGTTTCTGCGTCGGGTTCGTAAGGAGCAGGGCTGGGTTTTCGTTAACGTTCTCTACGGTGGACGTCCACACCCGAGCGGGACGCGGGCACCGTCCCTTTCCCTCGCGGATCACAGCGATCCTGATCAGCCCGCCCAGGCACTAAACGCCCTCTGAGACGCCGCTGTAAACAGATGATCGCAGAAGTTAAAAGGAAACCTACACAGGCCCGGGAAGCGTGAGGCGGCGGCTTCAGGTCACGCTCCGCGGGAGGCGTCCACCTCGACCCCTCAGGCCGGCCAGCGCGCGTGCGCAGAGGCAGGCGGAGCGGCCACTTCCGTGCCGAGCGACCAACGGCGGACACCTGCTTGCGCCTGCGCAAAGGCGCCGAGGCCGCCTCGACTCACGCCAGGATTCTGCCAGCGCAGAACGGTAGTTGTTCTGGGAAAGCAGTAGGTCTGTTTACGCACTGACATAAACCCACACTTGGCGGTCAGCCGTGTACAAGTCGCGCATCGCGTCCCGCCGCCACACCGAGGCGGCTCTGGCTGTGCCCATCCCGCAGGCGGTGCGCAGGAGTGGCAGAATTTACACGACCCGACTTCAAAAGGTCTTGGTGTTTCAGGAAACACGTTAGAAGCCTTTCAGACATAATGGCATTATAGGAAAAAAATATAACACCAGCAGAACACAGTAGGCTGAAGCTTAGTTCACAGCCTAGGAAAGACAGAGCAAGGTGGCAAGTGGCCATGCCCTTGCATCCACTTTGGAGACCTGGACACTTTGCTCCGGCCACCTGGGCACACAGATCTGTCCCTTCCTCCTCCTACTCAACCCTGCCTCTTAGCTCTCCTTTCCTCCTCTTACTAGCTTTATGAGTGGCATATTGCTGAGAAGTTGAGGCACTCAACTCAGTCTATGCTGAAAGTATATGCATTTTCACTCATTAAAAGACCATTTTAAACACCTTGAGGAACCACATCTTTGCTTTGAAGAATCCACTGCGTTTTCCTAGTAAAGCAGCAAAGACAAATAAAGTTAATACTGGACTTCAGGATTGCTGTTAGGGGAGGGGATGAAAAAAAAAAAATCAAGGCTATAAACGTGCGTAGTTAAGGCTTGCTCACAACATAGTCCTAATGAGCTAAGACCTGCATTGTCAGTTTGTTTCCTTGGAAGAAGGCAGGGCATCCACGGTAGGAGGGCCCGCTGGTGTGCTGCAGTAGGCTAAGCTCCCTCCTGCCTCCAATCCACCTCCCTACTTATGACCATGGAGAACAGGAGACCATGGCACATGTCCTTGGGACCCTGTACTCAACATGAGAGACCTGAGAGACGCTTTTGGCTCCTGGTTTCAGATCAGCTCAGCTCCAGCCACTGGAAACACTTGAGGAGTGAACCACAGATAGAAAATAAAAAAAAAAAAAAAAAGAGAGAGAAATAATGTCTGTTAAAAAAATGTTTTACTGGAAAGGCAGATTTACAAAGAGAAGGAGAAAGATCTTCCATCTTCTGGTTCGATCCCCAAATAGCCAAAACAGCTGGAGCTGAGCTGATTGGAGGCCACAAACCAAGAGCTTATTCAGGGTCTCCCTCATGGGTATAAGGGTCCCACGGATTTGGACCATCCTCTATTGCTTTTCCAGGGAGCTGAATGGGAAGTAGAGTAGCTGGGACATGAACTTGCACCCATACGGGATCCCAACACATGTAAGGAGAGGATTTAGCCACTGGCCCTCTCCTTCTCTGTAAATCTGCCATTCCAATAAAAACAAATCCATTAAATAACTAGGAGCAAGGAATACTAACAAAACAGGTAATTCCAAAGAGAAACCATCACTAGATTTTCATTTGGAGTTTGCCACTAAAATTTCTTAAACAGTCCTTTCTATTTTTGAAAGATTTACTGAGAGGGTTGGGTAAGCAGAATGGGGGGGGGGGGGACGGATCTTTTACCCACTGCTTGGTTAGTTGCCCAAATGGCTGCAATGGCCAGAGCTGAGCTGATCTGAAGCCATCAGCCAGGATGTTCTTGCAGATCTCCCATATGGATGTAGGGTCCTAAGGACTTCAGCCATCTTCTGCTGGGTCCTAGGCCACAAGCAGAGAGCTGGATAACAAATGGAAATAAACTGTCATCCACGTGCGAGGTGGAGAAACTAGCCTGTAGAGCCACCATACCAACCCCACACAACCCCTCCACCTTGAGTTTGCATTTTTTTAAGTTTGATTTATTTTTGTTGCAAAGTCAAGCATTCAGAGCAGCAGAGAGGGAAGATCTTCCATTTGATGATTCACTCCCCAAGTGGTCACAACAGCTGGAGTTGAGTCAATCCAAAGCCAGAAGCCAGGAACTTCCTCCTGGTCTCCCACGTGGGTTCAGGGTCCCAAGACTTTGGGCTGTCCTCAACTGCTTTCCCAGGCCACAGGCACGAAGCTGGAGGGGAAGCAGGGCTGCCAGGATTAGAATTAGAGCCCACATGGGATCCCGGCTCATACAAGGCAAGGACTTTAGCCACTAGGTCACCATGCCGAGCCCACAACTCCCGTTTTAATTGTATTTCTTCCTGCCTTTCATTTTCACTGGACAGATGATTTGGGAGCTTTCCTCCTGGGAGAAAATAGTGAGGATTTTTTTTATAGTTCTCATGGAAATCCCATAGTCAAAGTCCTCTGTAGTTGGTTATTCCTGTTGTACTTCAATCAAGTTTGTGATTATTAATACAAGTGGTTCCATAGGATCATGTTTGGTGCATAAATGAGAGCCTGGGCTCAAGTCCCAGCTCCCAAACTCTGCTAACATACATGCTGGCAGGCAGCATCATGGCTCAAGTTCTGAGGTCCCTTAACTATGTGAGTCTGGAGATCCAAACTGAGCTCTTGCTTCAGCGTAGCTCAGTCTCACCTGTTGCAGGCATGTAAAGAATGAACCAGCAGATGAAGATCTCTCTGCTTTTCAAATAAAAAGTTAAGGGAAAAGGGTCTGGCACGATGGCTCAGTGGTAACCCTCACTGGTCTGTGTCCTGAATGTTCCACTTCTCACCCAGCTCCCTCTTGTGGCTTGGGAAAGCAGTAGGGGATGGCCAAAAGCCTAGGGATCCTGCTTCCATGTGGGAGGCTCGGGAAGTGGCTCCTGGCTTCAGATCAGCTCAGCTCCAGCTTTTGTGGCCATCTGGAGAGTGAACTAGATATTGAAGATCTTTCTCTGTATCCTCTTCTCTCTGTAAATCTGCCTTTCCAATAAAAATAAAAATTTTTAAAGAAAAAGTTATGGATAAAAATAAATACTGACACAAGTAATTTTTTTAAAAAAGATTTATTTATTTTTATTGGAAAGGTAGAGAGGAGAGACAGAGAGGAAGATCTTCTATCCAATGGTTCACTCCCCAAGTGGCTGCAAAGGCTGGAGATGACCTAATCCGAAGCCACGAGCCTGGAGCTTCTTCCAGGTCTCCCACGCAGGTGCAGGATCCCTAGGCTTTGGACCGACCCAGGCCACAAGCAGGGAGCTGGTTTGGGATGCAGGGGTGCCAGGATTAGAACCGACGACCATGTGGGATCCTGGCGCATTCAAGGCAAGGGCTTTAACCGCTACGCTATCACGCCAGGCCCACAAGTAGTTTAATTAAAAATTTTTAATAAGACATACCAATAGTCTGGAAGTGATTCCGATATTAAGGAATGTCTTGAATAACTTCATTCATAATTTACTCCTCAGAACCAAGTATAACAGAATTACATCCATATCCAATTAGGACCCTTAACAATTATACAAAACCTTTAGGTTCACTACAGGGATACCACATAAAATCACCCAAACTGAGACATTTTTAAAATTAAAGGGAGTGGGCCAACACCATGGAGTAGCGGTTAAAGTCCTCGCCTTGAACGTGCCAGGATCCTACATGGGTGTCATTTCATATCCCGGCAGCTCCACTTCCCATCCAGTTCCTTGCCTGTGGCCTGGGAGAGCAGTCAGGGATGGCCCAAAGCCTTGGTACCCTGCACCCGTGTGGGAGACCCAGAAGAGGCTCCTGGCTTCAGATTGGCTCAGCTCCAGCCATTGCGGCCGCTTGGGGAGTAAATCATCAGACAGAAGATCTTCCCTCTCTCCTCCTCTCTGACTTTGCAATAAAAATAAATCAGTCTTTAAAAATTAATAAAATAAAAACAAAAGGCAACTGATCAGTTTAAGAAAAATTAAAGGGAGCACCAAAATAATGCTGATGTTAAGTGATATATACACAAAAACTAGGACCGCTTCCAGCAAGCCAAGGGTCAACAGCGGCCTACAACATTCGCCTCATCACCATAATCCTGGGAAATTTATCCAAGTGTATCAGCGGGATCCCCCACCTTCTGAAATCAGAAGATCCAATAAACATTGTATGCTTAGACAAAGTTGTTCTTACTATGGCAGCTTATGCCCACTGCAGCCCAGCCTCACAGGCCCTGTTCTGTTCTCTCCCCACCATTTGGGGGCCTTCGGGGTTTCTAGTCTCTCCTTCCTAACCACTTTCTTACTGCTGTGTCCAAGTGCCAGTGATCCTTACTGAATTCCATCAGTTTCCCTACTTAAAAGGACATGGAACAGAAAATGTAAAAAGGAATTTTATCTTTTGCAAAATCAGTCCTGATCACAGCAATAACTACATTTTGGTTTTAAATAGTAACATTTTTCAAAATGCACAGAAGAGGCAAAAAACCATCCATGCTAGCATTAAACTTGAAATCCAGTAATTATTATTATCTTTTACTGAGATGAAACAACTGTCATCTGCAGAAACTAAGCCTGTGTTTTGCTACAAGACTTTGCTTTTAGAAAAAGTTCCAGATCAGTGGAATCTCTCAAAAAAAAAAAAAAAAAATTGAAGGCAAGCAGTCATGGAATGACAAAACTTAACATTTTTCTATTTCTATCCATCTGTCAAATCTGAGGAACGGATACACAATGTTCTTGTGTAATGTATACAATATGCAAATCCTTGTTTAATAGCCTATGACAATCACCAGCTTCCACAGAGGTTGGTTATAATTCACAAATCTTTTGTCAACATCAATCTTCCAGAACAGACTGATAATGTATTTTCAGTGTGTGTGTGTATATATATATACACACATATATATGTATATATATATATAAATAGACCAGGACAATTTTTTGTTTGCTTTTAATTAACAAACTCCTCCTACTATAATCCTTGCTTTTATAAACTTTAGGTTACATTATTTCTCCTGAAAGAGTACATACAGATTTTGAGACACCTTTTTAATGTAATTGTGGTTCAAAGCAGCAGCATAAAGGAATTCCTCTGAATTTTCTTTTGTAATTATGAACAGGTTACTGATATCACATTGATGCAAATTCATTCTCATTCATTTAGCACTTCCTGGATGTCTACTGTGTCCAAGGCACTCACCCACGCCGTGACAGAACAATTGCCAGTAGAATCACTAGCCATTCTAAATTAAAGTGTTTAGAACTCTGAGAAAGGACATGGAGTGGTCCAAATGACCGAGGTAAGCAGAAATAACAACCAACACAAGAAAAGTTTCTAGGAATTTTTGACACTCCTTGGAACCATACTCCTTCAGGAAGTAGGCTGCGTTAAAGTTAACATCACGGGCCCTGCTTTCTAAAAAGCAGTTATTCATTCAAAAGCTTTGTTGCCAACACCATCTACATTTGCATTTGAATGGAAACTTGCTTCCATAAGTTTTGCCATTATGTGGACATATTCAATCAATAACTCACACATCAATATTCTGGACCTATATTGCACTTATTTAGAACTTTAGCACTACAAGGGGTAAAAAGTTTGAGTTGCAAGGATTATGTAACTTAAAGGCAACTGAGATGCCAATTAGTCATTGTGAGGGTGCTAAGGAAGAATGCAGGCCAACCTGTGTCTGCTCACTATTTTTCTGGGAGTTCTCACATGCAGACCTACCTACCATGGGACCAATAAGTACTTCCTTGGAGAGGCAGAATATGCAAAGGCTCTTTCTCCACCCTTGGGCAGCCAGTATCTTTGGGCAAAATAATTTCTAACTCTTGATTTCTGACATACATAACACAGTGGTAATTATCTACTTATGAGAGCATTAAATGGAAAGCTCTTAGCTAAGCACCAAGAATGCAGCAGATGCCCAAAGGGCAACAAACTGAAGAATCCAACCTCCAAGAAAACCTGTTGGCCTGGCCATCCTCAGTTGAAAGCAGAATACCACATCATCTAATCTTAATTCTTCCTTCTTACCCTAAGCTGCATTTTATGTCTGAGAACAATTTGATATTTTCAATCAATATATAAAGATTTGTCCCAGTATCTTTTCCACAACCTGTTTTCTGCCAATAAAGTATTCGGGATATCTGTATTACAGCCACCCTGACAGCACTACACATTTGGCCTTGAACTTACCTTCTCTTTGAAATGCTCCTATTAAAATTCAAATGGACAACAATTCAGATTTGTGACTTCCATATAGAAATAAACCTATCTTTTCAAATGAGCAAATTTTAGAATGTGGGAGGCAGCATACAGTATGTCAGTTAAGGCAAATGATGCTCTGTTTTATCTTCATTACCCATCATAATTTCCAAATATACACAAAAGCTCACCCTCTAAAACAGGTATGATTGGCTGTTGATACTAAAACTTTCATAAAATTTATCAACAAGAAAGAAAAGAAACCCTTGGGCCCAGATACCATGACTCAATGGCTAAATCCTCACTAGGCAAGTGCGAGGATCTCACATGGGTGCAGGTTCGTGTCCCGGCCAATCCATGCCTTCCAGCTCCTTGCATATGGCCTGGGAAAGCTGCAGAGGATGGGCCAAGGCTTTCAGACCCTACACCTGTGTGGGAGACCTGGAAGAAGATCCTGACTCGTGGCTTTGGATTGGCTCAGCTCTAGCTGTTGTGGCCAATTTGGGGCATGAACTAGCAGATGGAGGATCTTTCTGTCTAAATGTGATCTGCCTTTCCAAGAAAATAAATCTTACAGAGAAGAGAAAGAAAACAAACCCTTGACCTAAGGAAACATTCTCAAGATGCTACCCCAAGTCAGGGGATTAAACAGCTGAAATGTTTATTAGCACTAGAGAAGTAATTTCAAAGTTGCCTATAGATAGCCATGTACAATACAGGGTTTGGTTGGTTGACAGAATTTGGTTCATAAAACACATTTTTTCTAGAACCAATAGTAACCTGGAATAATTCAGATTTACTGTGAGACAAATGCTAACGGTTTTTCTTTGTGCCAATAATGCTGAAAATAACCCGGAGCCCAAACAACTTCTTCCCTCAGGTATACGGAAAAAACAAACCTGGGGCAATAGAGTTTTTAGCCAGAAGTTAAAAAGCACTCTTGATTAGTGACAAGAAAGCAAAAAGTGTTTCATGGGCTGGTGCAATGGCTCAACTGGATAGCCCTCCACCTTTCGGTGCTGGCATCCCACGTGGGCTTCAGTTTGTGTCCTGGCTGCTCCACCTCTCCTTGTGGCCTGGGAAAGCAGTGGAGGATGGCCCAAAGCCTTAGGTCCTGCACCCGCATGGGAGACCTGGAGGAGGCTCCTCTTTCTATGTCTCTCCTTTCTAAATAAATCTTTAAAAAAGTTTTTCACAGAGAGTTTCACCTTTCTTCATGTTGGTCGTCTCCATCTTTCCTGGTACTTGCCAGCCCAATAATATCAACCTCGCTGGTCCTTTAGGTTCTAGATGCCTTTTCATCTCCTGTCAAAGCTCACAGTATGCTGAAATCTAACTAGAAAATTTGTAGGAAGAAGAAAAAACAAAGCCAATGTCCTCTAATCGGTACATTAACCAAACAGAGTATTCTAGCAGTGGAAATAACATACTTTGGTAATATGCAACACCTTAATTATAAGGCATTCAGTAAACTGAAATTAACAGATTCTTCCAGGAAGAGTTATAAACAGGATTTACTGTTATCCCTTAAAATCCCATTTCTATTACCAAAAGGCTGCTTTATCAGTACATCTGAATTATACTGGGACTTACCATTTAGTCAATTACAATTTTTATACTCCTTTTATTATTTCTACATATGTATTTCATTCCTACCTTGTGATTCATGAACTACTTCAAGAACAAAAGATAAATTCTTCAGTTATAGACAAACTAGATCATGTCAGTTAAATGGATTGCTTTAATTAACTCACTGAATTTCACTTCATTCACCTGAAACTGCTACCAAAAATTCCCACCAAATACTAACTACTCTTAATGTAGGGAGATAATTTTGTGTTCTTATTTTTCCATTTAAATGGGCTTATATAAAAATGAAGCGGAACCATTCAATAAAAGGTACATAATTTAAAACATCCTACAGAAATGACGTTACCAGTAATTTACAATTAAAAAAAAATTCAGCCACAAAACGTCAAAGCTAAAAACAAGATTTTTACTATGAATCAGTGCTTCTATTACCCTTCTGAAAGAAGTTATATTTTAATGTGATGTAAAGGCAACATTGAAAGTTCTTTTAAATTAACCACCTAATTTACCCCTAAAATTACAAAGAATCAAAAGTCTTTTACAGGTCAGGTGCAGTAAACTAAAATGTTCTCTCAGCACAAAGCAGCACTAGAAAAGTAACAGTTATAGATGGGAACTGACTAGTTTTGCAGTGGCTGATCCATCAATGACAGACAGACATCAGACGGTATCCATCCCAGAGCACAGACACAACTACAGACTAGATGCGAAGACTGTGTCACACTCTTGGCTGATAAATGTCCTTTGTCTTTGAATCTTTCAATTTGGAGGGAAGTGGGGTTTCTGGAAGTTTAAATCAGGTCACATAAGCTGGCTGCTTAGATAACATCATGATGAGGTATGAGAACTCTGCATATCCTTTACATTCAGCAGGATTTACCAGAGATGTGTAATAGCTTGTCAGGGGGCAACTTCCAGATAGTTTTTACACTTTGGGGTTATAATGAATTCTAGAAGACAAGTCTAAAGAGGTTTAAAAGGGTATGCTCTGAAACAGAAGTGAGCAATTTTCCTTCAGGATTCATTCTGAATAGCAAATCATTAGCAACAAAGAATCTTCTCTGATAGTGTATCCCAGCGTTTAGTCAAGACGGCCAACTAGCACCGAGAAGTCATTTGCAGTTCTCTTGGCAATTTAAGCTTATTTCTCCATTCCAGTCCAAGGACAGATGTGGATCAGTGAGCACAGTACTGGAAGCGCCACTTGTAGGTACAGAGTGCAGCTGTCATTAAACAAGTCATAAGGTGGACACTGTTTTCACTGGGGAGGGGAGGAAGTACTAGCTGGAGATGAAATAAATGATCAGGGAACACTGAGGTCATCAGAAAAAGATCACTGCCCTTATTTGGGTTAAGCAAGTCATGTTGAGAAGACAGTTATTTCTTATGAGAAGGATGCTACATTAAAGGTATCCTATGTGCAGCATGAATGCATTAAAATCAAGCTGCACTTTACTAAGAAAGAAAACCCATAAGTTACCTTTGTATGTAATCTGCCGGTTACAGAGGGGAAAGCACCTAGGGCGAGCTCCAATTCAATGAGGACCTTGATCAGGACCACAAAGCCTGACACATTTGTTTAGTGCACAACCTCTAGTCATACTGGTTGAGTCTGGAAAAACTAGAGGGGTATTTTTTTGTTTCTCTTACTTTTTTTGATACTAAATTATAGGATATGGTTTTTTGATCACTAAGATTCTAAATCACTGAATTGAGCCATTCCAAATCCCAAAACACATTAAGACCAAAGAGAAGCTAAAACCATACAAATTAGTATGTGCTCCTCTTCATTCTGCTTTAAGGGAATCTGCAAACCTGTATCACACTTAAGAATCAAAGTGTTAATTCTTCAGCATTCCTGACAATTAAGCACATTCACTGAAGGCTGAAGGTGAGGGAGTGGATGGTTTAATCTTAGTATCTGAAGACTGGCTCCAATAGTAGAAAGAAAACCATCCAATCTCAGTAAGGATTAATGCAAATTTGGCTAGAAAAAGCCACCAGGTAATCCAAGGGTTCAATGTGGAAGAACTCATGAGAAGTACTCTGAAGTTTACACATAATGTCTAAACATCTCCCTTGTCACAAGTAGTTGTGTGAAATTCAAGATAAACATTTAGTTTCATCTTTTAATGTCAGTATTTTTTCCCCACTTTAAAGGGAATGGGGAGTCCTCTTTTTCCCCTACAAAAAAAAGGGAACCACCACACACTAATGTGTGTATCCCCATGATTCTAATAGTGCAGATCTCCGAAGCCTAGGGATTTTTCCATAAGACAGTGGGCCGTTCTGGTTACCCTTTTATTAGAAGGGCATTCCACCACAGAGAGCCAGAGGTTTTCCAGATGTGTGTAAGAGAGCAGGTGCGCAAGGCAAGCAAATGAGCGCAACAGTATTATGGAAAACATTTGAGAAGTTAGCTCCATGAGGACTGTGGGCTCCACAAGAAGACTTGACTGGGTAGCCTGGTGTGACACAGGAACACAAAAGCAGAGTATTGCTTCAAAGCTGGAAGCCTTCCATAGGAGCCTCACACTGCTGGAAGATGTACTGCTGCTGGCTAAGGTCAACCTGGGGTGCAATGCTGCTGTCCTCATCTTCGGTCCCAAAGTAGTGCTCAATAAGATCAAAGGCCTTCTGGTATATCTCCTGGTTTTCATGACTCTGTAAGAATTCAATTTTATCCAGACCTAAAAAGACAAAAGGAAAATATTGGAAATTCCAGATAAACTATCTTTTACTCTATCTTTCCTTCTTTGATATAAGCACGGGTAGGGAACATCTGGATTGCAGATCTGGTCCTACAAATAATATCATAAATATCCAAATGGCCCTTGACAGAAAAATGATCCCCTGCCCTGCAGGTAGATTCTCTACATACATAGAGTGATAGCACAAAAAGGACTGGTGGAATTACATCTGAAAGCTATATTATAAACTGTCTTCCTAAAAACACATAGACAAACATCTAGTCTGTAAAACCAGCAATTTCAAAAAAGCAATTTCACATCACCCAGGGCCTAGCAGCAGTTTTATTGCTGTTATTGGACTACTTATGACCCACATAATTCGCAGTCATAAATTTTACCAAAGCATCTTACCATAAGCCTCTTCAATTAAAGCACAGTAAGGGTTAATGCCAGCGCCATTCCTTTTGGCTTCTTGTTCGCCAAGCCTCAGGATGTTTTCCAAGCCATTCAGGGCAACCTGGACAATCTTAGAGTCCATGACTGTGAGAAGATCACACAGGGGTTTGATGCAACCCAGTTCTACCAGGTACCTAAAATTAATACAAACAACAATTAACTCCAACAAAATCTAAAACTTCATAATACCACTATAATAGCTGAGGAACCTCAATCGGGCTCCTCAAATTCACTGCAGAGAAAATAAGCAACCACCCAAGCACAAGCCACACTTCACTGCAAGTAAATTCATCACAGCCAGTCAATGCCGGCCTTTTCATTCCCTCCACAATTTCTGGACTCAAAAAATAGCTAAAGTTTTTTCTACTTTGAATAAAAGCAATTCATCAAAACAATACAGTTTTGATTAATTTCATCTTTGTGGGTTGTCGTAATACATTTGGTGATAAAGTCAGCACAAGTCCAACAGGCCAAATCTTTTATATGATTAAAATTTTACTAATGTAACTTGTGAAAAAAAAAAAACTATACAGAGTAACAAAACAAATATACGGATGACTCTAGAGCTAGGCTCTTGCCTTCAATTCTGACAGAATTTGGAGCTCACTGCAAGTGCCAAAACATCTCTCATACACACAAACCTTAGTAATTCTGCATTTAACTCAGTCAATCCCAAATGACCTTACAAACCTCACTGCACCAGTGGAAAATTTCACTAGTGAGTTTTACCAAACATTTAGAGAAAACCATTTCTTTTAGGAAAAAAAAGGGGGGGGTGGTGCTTCTGGCTTATTTTATGATGCCAGCATTCCCTTAATACTAAACATTGCTACTAGTCAGACTGTAAAAATAGGATAACTTCTTTTTTTTTTTTTTAAGATTTACTTTTATTGCAAAGTCAGATATATAGAGGAGAGACAGATTTTCTGTCTCATGATTCACTCCCCAAGGGACTGCGACAACCGGAGCTGTGCCGATCTGAAGCCAGGAGCCTCTTCCGGGTCTCCCAATGAGTGCAGGGTCCTAAGGCTTTGGACTGTCATCAACTGCTCTCCCAGGCCACAAGCAGGGAGCTAGATGGGAAACAGGACTGCCGGGATTAGAGCCAGGACCCATATGGGATCCCAGTGCATGCAAGGCAAAGAGTTTAGCTGCTAGGTACTGTGCCAGGCCCAGACTAGCAGCTTCTTAAAAAGATGTCTTTTATCAGTGAAAGCATCAGTTTATTTTCTGTGATTTGGATCATAATATTCTTACAAAAAAATTTTTCACAAAAACTTCCAAAGATATTTCTATGAACTGATCATTAATATTACTGTAAATATGGTGAATTTTTCAGAGGGGTAGAGAGTGGGCATGTGGCACAGCAGATTAAGTCACAGCTTCACATGCTGGAGTGAAATCTCAGTCCAACTGCCCTGCTTCCAGTTCAGCTTCTTGCATCCTGGGGATGACTGGTTCAAATATTTGGACTCCTGTCACCATAGAAGAGGCCCAGATTGAGTTCTGGCCTCCTAGTTTCAGCCTGTTCCAGTCCTTGCTATTGTAAGCATTTGAGGAAGCAGAGGAGGGAAGGACTCTCTTGTTTGCTCTCTCAGCCTTACAAGTAATAATAAACATTAGAAGAACATGGGGTGGGGGTGGGGGGCGCACAGCAGGTTAAGCAACTGCTTACAACTTCATTGTCTCTATCAGAGCCCCTTCACAGGCTCCTTGCTGCTCCACTTCTGATCCAGCTCCCTACTAACGTGCCTAGGGAAGCAGTGGAAGATGGACAAAGTGCTTGCATACCCAGCACCTGCGGGGAGGACTGGGCTGGAGTCCCAGGCTCCTGACTTTGGGGAGTGAACCAGCAAACTGAAGATCTCAAATAAAGAAACTCTTAGAAAAGGCATAAATGTGCCTTCAAAAACAAAAGAAATGTTTTTAAAAGGGGGAGGGGAAAAATAGTAGTAATTCTACTCACCTCCAACAGAGCAAACAATTATAAAAATTTGAACATAAAGTTTATTCAAATAACCATGTTACTCTACATTATTTGGTGATGACACTCAAAATAATTAGTATCCCAGAACTAGAAATATTTAAGATTAAGACATGGAAGATCAATGTTTATAATCTTAACTGCTTCAAATCTTACTTCCTCCCATTCCCCTTTTTCTAAAAAAAGTTTAAAAAGCAGTGTAGGGCCCGGCGCGGTGGCGCAGTGGTTAAGGTCCTCGCCTTGCACGCCCGGGATCCCATATGGGCACCGGTTCTATCCCCAGCAGCCCCGCTTCCCTTCCAGCTCCCTGCCTGTGGCCCGGGAGAGCAGTTGAGGACTGCCCAAAGCTTTGGGACCCTGCACCCACGTGTGGGAGACCCGGAAGAGGCTGCTGGCTTCAGATTGGCATAGTATCGGCCGTTGCGCTCACTTGGGGAGTGAATCATCGGACGGAAGATCTTCCTCTCTGTCTCTCCTCCTCTCTGTATATCCGCCTTTCCAATAAAAAAAAAATAATAAAAATAAATCTTTAAAAAAAAAAAAGCAGTGTAAAAGAGACAACTATCTTCCATCTGCAGGAACACTCCCTAAATGGTAACAACAACTAAGCCTGGACCAGGCCAGGAGCCAGAGCTAGAGGCTCCAATTTGTTCTCCCACATGGATGGTAGGGACCCAAGTGCCTGGGCCATCTTGCCCTGCCTTCCTGGTATGTTAGCAGGAAGCTGGATTAGACCCAACTAGGTATCCCATAAGGCATGCTGGTGTCACCAGGGGACAGCTTATTCCATTATACCATAAATCAACCCCAAAGTCTTCCTTGAAAAGCCTTTCATGATAAACTTAGCCAATTTGTCCCTTATCTTACAAACCCTCTGTTAAGGGGTTATTTTCAAAATACTGCTACAGGAGACACGCTCTGCGATATACAAACACCTAATCTGGAAGCAGACTGCTTACAAAGCAATGTTCTTATTTGAGGCACTTAACCATCATCTGCACCTAACCAAGTCTTGCACTGTCAGGACTCAAACACAGTACTAAAAATCCTAGCATTTAATGACAGGCTAAATTGATTCGACAAAGCACTACCAGTAGTAGCTGTGTTTATCTGATACTACTGCATGAAGATGGTTTTGTGAGTTAGCACTTTTTTGAAACTTTCGTCTCCCATCTGCATTCTCAATAAAGTTAAGGCAGGCTGAGTTTAGCTTCCTCTGTTCTTCTCATTCTTTCTTTTATCTTTCTTCTTATTTGTAGTTTTATTTTTTCTTATCTTGATCCAGAAATTAGCATTTCACATATGATGCTTCTTTGAGGAAAAGGATCATTCTTGCCCACATTTATGTATTCTCTAAACATTTTTAAGATTATAAGCTTCTACCAAGTGAACATATCTCTCCCTTTACTGAATAGCCACAGTACTTTTAAGACAAGTGGCTCTTCTGAATTTGACAAATCATGATAAGGCACACTTCTATTTCAAGTCTGGTCTAATTCTATTGTAAAAATGCCTAATCTAAAAACAAGAGTTACTTGTTGAAGTTGGATTCTAAGTTGTACAAGTAACCTTCTAGACTAGCTAACCTTTTTCTGATCAACCGAAAGCTGACTGCAGCCAACCTGTACATATTTCTACTGCCTCAACACTTAACTATGCCTTACTTCTCACATCCCAGATTTTTAGCAATAAGAAATGGGAAAAGTGTGCAGAATTAAATGCACATTTGAGGATAATTATGACAAAACAAACTTCCAAGGGCTGAAATGAAGCACTCATTATTGATACGATCATCTACTACCTTATCTCTCAAATATAGGTTACCCTCCACTCAAGGTAACAGGGGAGGCAGCAAACCTTCAAAGTTACAAGGTCCTACCTGGTTAGTACTTACTTGATCTGTTCAGCTGATCCTCCAGACGTTGCATTTGTGATGGCCCAAGCTGCTTCTTTTCTAGTCCGAAACTCAGCAGTTTGTAATATACTAATAAGGGCTGGGAAAATGTTGGCATCTATCACAGTCTAAAATTTAAAATATAAAATGGGAAAAAAACCAGAAAGGTGCATTACAAGATTTATTAAAATGTCTATGATATCAATTATAACTTTAAGCCACCTTCACCAATGACATTGTTTTTTTGCTATGTATTCATATATTCATTCTACATGTAATCAGTTACCAAGGCTTATCTTTTAATTCAAAACGCCCTGGTCCATCATCTCCTTTGTACTAGCACTGCTGTCATCCAATTCCAAGCTACAACCTCCCAGTTAAGATTACCAGAAGAGCCTTATAGTTACTTTATTCAAGCCCTTACACATACTAACACTAAACAAGTCTTCCCCAAATCATTTTGTTTATGTTTCTCTTTGATCAAGAATCTAAATGCATTCATACCACTTTGCTTAAGAGTTGAAGTCATCTCATATCCACACTGTAATATAAGCCGCTATTGCCATCAATCTCAGAATCTAATCCAGCAGCCCAGGGATAACCAACCATGTTTTACTGGTCAAGAACTCTCACAAGGAAGGAGCAAGGTCAGCAAAGTTTAGTGAAAAGACATAAAGTCCTTGTCCTATGAATGATTCACTGGAGGTGCCTGTAAGGAAATCACGTTGATTTCTCTAAGCCTCAGCCTCATCTGCTAATCTTTTTAACTGTCAAATGGTAAATGTATATTTTTATGGGGCAATGTGAAGATGGTCTGGTAAATGTATTTATTAAAGTAAATGAGGATATCAGGTCAGATGACCGCTATTATTCCTTTGAAGTCCAAGCCCTGTAAGTCGTTGTTGCATCCTTTCTGACCCATCTTTCCAGGTCAGCCTGGAACCCTATGATCTGATCTGATCTTTCACATAACTTACTCTACTACTGACAGAAAAAGAAGCAAAAAAAAAAAAAAACACCTGATTATTTCAAAGTCTAACATAACACTCTGAAACTGCAAGACACTACCTGGATTTGGTAAAGCATTCAACAGTAAAAGCAAAGGGAAAAACCAAGGCACACATGTAAATTTCAAAAAACATAGCATTTACAAGGTAAAAGAAAAGAATAAAAGATTATGGGGATAGGTAGTTAATCTAGTAGATAAACCTTTGGTTAGGATGCCCATAAACCTGACTAGAGTGCCTGGGTTCAGATGCTAGCTCCACTCTCCATCTGAGCTTCCTGTGGAAGGGCACTGTGGAGGCAATCAGTGACAGCGCAGGGGCTGAGTCCCTGCCCACCAATGAGGGATGTCTGGATGAGTTCCACTTCCCAGCTTCATCCTGGATCAGCCCCAACCACTGGGGAAACCACAGAGTGGACCAGTGGGTTTGGAACTCAGTCTTGCTATCTGTATGTCTCTCAAAACAAAGTAGCAGAAAATGAAAATAAAACAATGTTGGTGGTGGCCTTCAAGGAAATAATGAAAACTGATTTTGTTAAAGGCTGACAAAGACAACTTATTTTGCAATAGAAAGATGGATAGTAGATTACCTGGATCTGTGCTCTATTTCCAGCTGTGATATTAGATATTGTCCAACATGCTTCCTTCTTGATTGATTCCTTTGGGCTACTCAACAGATGCAATAAACTCTGCAAAGCTGAGCAATTCAAAATTACCTGAAAGGAAAGGTTTTGAAATCTTACTTTATTATTCCCAAGATAACTGAACCTTTAATTTTAGGAAACCATATGTAAAAAAAGTAACATCGTTCCTTGTAAAGATACGTGTGTGTGTGTGTGTGTGTGTGTATGTATGTATGTATGTATATATATATAAAGAAAGCAGTAACAGCTAATTGGAATTCCTAAGACTGTAAAACCAGTTTCACTGTATACATTCACAATTGCTAAACTGTACTTATCCAAGAACAAAAGTAGTAATATTAATCAAAATGATTCTCACTGACCTTCTCCCATACTACAGTGTAAGTCTTTTGGGTGGGTACATTTCCCCATACCTGAAGGTAAGTTTATTTGGGCTGGCATCATGGTAACTGGTTAAGATGCTGCTTGTGATGGCTGGATGCACTAAGAGCCTATCTGAGGCCCAGCTGCCCACTTCCAATTCACTTCCTGTGCATTCAACTGAAGGCAGTCATGATGGCCCAAGGACTGAGTCCCCATGTCCCAGGTGGGAGACCCTGTTAGGAGGTGCTGGCCTCCTGATTTCAGCCTGTTATGCCCTGGCTGTTGTAACCATTTAAGGAGTAAACCAGCAGTTCAAAGAGAACTCTCACTGCCTATCCTTCTCTATTTTGGTGTGAAAAAACATTCCTAAACCCATGAATATGGTTTTTTCATAATACATATTTTCTATAAACTTTAAAATCCCTGCTCTGTATCAAATGATCAGAAATTCTTATAAAATTTAAGCCTTCTATTATTCTATAATTTTTTGGTGACCAGTGAACCAATACATACTTAATGAAGTGTAACAGATATTTATAGGACATAAGGGTAAAAAAAAAAGACAATTCCACCTCTCAAAATTGGGTAAAGATAGACAAGACAAATGTACATGATAAAGGTCTTATACTCTATCAGAAAATTTAAACCATAAATTCAGACTGATTAACACAGTAGCATTTATTTTACAAAGAATTAAGCATAAAAGACAAAACAATTAGTTGGTCATAAGTATTAATATTCACTGGGCCCAGTGTGGTAGCTTAGTGGCTAAAGTTCTCACCTTGCATGCACCTGGGATCCCATGTGAGCACCAGCTCATATCCCGGCTGTTCCACTTCCCGTCCAGCTCCCTGCCTGTGGCCTTGGAAGGCAGTCAAGGACGGCCTAAAGCCTTGGGACCCTGCACCCACATGAGACCTGGAGGAAGCTCCTGGCTCCTGGCTTCGTCTCAGGTACAGCCATTGTGGCCTCTTGGGGAATGAAGCAGCAGTGAACAATGAGAAGATCTTTCTCATTGTTTCTCCTTTCTCTAAATCTGACTTTCCAATAAAAATCTTTCAAAAAGATTCACTAAAAACACAAATGATTTGCCTTATGTAAATCTACCTCTAAGATATCTAACCAAAGGAAATTATGCTTACAATAGGCTGTTAAGGAAATACCAAGACCTATGACTACACAATAAATACATGTATGAACATATATTTGAACTATGAACAGAAAAAAAGATGAGAAGGAAATAGAAAGATATTACTTTCGCACTGGTGGACCCTGACACTCACATGGGTACCGAGTTCTAGGATTTGGGTTTCAGCCTGGCCAAGTCTTAGCTATTGCAGGCATTAGGGAATGAACCAGTAGCCAAGGACCAAATTCTCTGTTTTTTCTTTTAAAACAAAAAACAGGGCCCAGCATGGTAGCCTAGTGGCTTAAGTCCTCGTCTTACACGTGCTGGGATTCTATATTGGTGTCAGTTCATATCCCAGCTGCTCCACTTTCCATCCAGCTCCCTGCTTGTAGCCTGGGAAAGCAGTTGAGGATGGTCCAAAGCCTTGAACCCTGCACCTGTGTGGGAGACCTGGAATAGGCTCCTGGCTCCTGGATTCAGACTGGCTCAGCTCTGGGCATTGCAGCCACCTGGCGAATGAAGCAGCAGATAGAACGTCATTCCATCTCTCCTCTCTGTAAATCTCCTTCTCTGTAAACAAATCTTTAAACAAAAACAAACACCCCCCTCCAAATTCAGGCTACAAGGATGATCACTGAGACTGTGAAGGAAGCTCAGAGATCGCCCCTGGAGAACGCCTAACAGCAAGAGGAGGAAAGTTTACTGGACAAAAAGATTCAGTGAGGCAGAAGAACCAAAAGTCTTCATCCTCACAGAAGCCTAAGAAAACAAATCAGAAATTTCAACTGATGCATGTAAGACATTAGGAAGAAGAGTGGCTACAATAACCCACTGGTGGTGATAATGTCTTGGTAGTTAAGTTGAATAGACTTTAGAAAACAGGAGTGAGGACTCTTTCTCACACACGATACTTGCCACATACAAAAGGAAGAAGCTATCAGAAAAGACACCAAGATGACAGAGACAACAAAAAAGCTGTTATTACTAATTCTGATGCTCACAAGCACCACTTTTAGAGTGAGAAAAATCTGCCTGACCCAAAGAAAAGTCATTATCTTTACAGGTCAAGAAATACTGAAGGTTAAAAGTGTATGCCCAAGACAACATTTTAAACATTGGCCTAATCAAATAGAATTAAATATTATGAAGAAATACCACACAGCTCAACATTGCTTTTGTGGGAAACACACACACTCAAGCTTGCCATTTATTCATACCTGTGTCTGAATATCATCCCCTGTGACAATGTTTCCCACAGCCCGCAAAGCAGGGGACACCACTTTGTAATCATTATGCCTGTAATCACAAAGAAAAAAAAAAGTTACAGCGAACAATTTTATCTATGATCTCTTTTCCTTAGGCCCAAAATACAAAAGAAACAAATAGGTGACATCAGTGTTCCTTGGAAGAGCTGTTGTCTCTTCATTTGTTATTTTCTTGGGAAAACATACAAATCTTTTCAAATACCATTACCCAGGTATTCTATCAACTGGATTGTGAATCTACCCCTTCCTCAGCTCAGATCTCATATCCCCATTACTTAGTCTTCCATTATAATGGAGCACAACAGTTATCATCAAAACAATAATTTTAGGTTTCTAAATTGTCTAGTCTTCACAGCCTAGACACTTAGACTATCTTGAAAATCAAGATGAGGATTTATACTTCACTAAGCTTTTTCTACTAAACCTAAGTCATCTCTATTAAAAAAAAAAATACCTACATGAACCCTTTGTTATACATTTGAAAAAAGAAACTAAGTCCTAACTTCAAGCTAAATAAATAATTTCTTTTCAGCTTCCTTCAGCTTCCTTTTTTCTTTCTCTTTCAAGACTGTAGGAATTCCTTCACATTTACTGCAAGATCTGATGTCTAAAAATAAATGGCTAAAGTGAATCTAATGAGTAAGAATCTAATAAATAACAAGTATAAACAACTGCTTTCCAGATTTTGGATACTATACTTTTGACAACATGAGTATCATGTTGCTTGTCATTCACAGCAGCACTGTATTACTGATCTACATCCTTTGTGTGGCTAACCATAATCCTAACACTTTGTGTTATGTGCATTTAATTGATGTAACCCAACCTACACATCACATTTCAGACAACATCTCCTAGAATCTACTTTGCACTTTAATTCTTATCTTCCTTATAATTACCTTTTCTCCATTACATTATTCTATTTTTTCTACTATTGGATAACCTAAAAATCTGAAACACAGTCCAAAATGATGTACATCCTTAGTAAAACTGACACTTCCTCTTCTAAGGCACTAGAAACAGAATACAATAAGATTCAATACCTGACACTATTCTAAATCCTAAAAGGGAGAGACTAAGAGTAACAATTTTAGTGACAATATGCCTTTTGAGGCCAACTTGTTGGTCTCAGGTTATCTAGTACTAGCTAAAACTATAGTTCAGGCTCCCAGTGCTACAACAAAAACCTGATAGGCTCTGTAAAAGTTTCAATAAAACAAGACAATCTGATACAAACATAACAAGCAACAAAAGAGAGTAGCCTAAAGCACCATCAACCAGTGTAATACACAATTAATACTTAAATATTAGCGATTAGCAAACAAATATAATAGGAGAAGGGGCAGTCAGAAACAGTTGGTTAAAGATGTCTTACATCAGTAGCTCCACAAGTCTCCTACACACTCCTGCATCAATGACTGCTTGAATTTTGTCATTGGGTCCATCTGACAGATACGAAAGGGCCCAGCAGGCATCAGCCAGCACATCAGTGTCACTAACAAATAGTAACCAGGAAAGCACATTCAAACAGGGAGAAACCTGTAAAAGGAAGACAGTCTGATTATGATATTAAATAATAAAAGTTAGACGGTAATAGCAGCCACGCTCCTGTAGAAGCAGCAAGGGACCAAGTGGCATTTCCACAGGAATGCTGTTTGTTAGTGATCTTGCAGCTTACATAGAAGCAGCAGTCAAAGCTCAAAGAAAATCATTTCAGGGAACACAGTTTTGCATACACCGATTCTTACACTGAGGCTCTTTGTCAAAATGCACTCTTTGCAGGCCAAAGTTAAAAGAACTAGAAAATTCTGTATTTTAGATTCTTCACTTTTAAAACTAAGGTTTTAAGACGAATTCACAGATCTTTCATAGCAGTGAAAAATAATTCCAATAAAAAAACCACAAAAGAGAAAATAAATAAATAAATAAATAAATCTGCAACAAATCACCTTTCTTGGAAACCGATAAAGTTCTACTGTTTTAAATGTAACCAAAATAATTTTTCTGTAAACGTGAGTGGTCGTCCACTCCTGTAACTGCATTTTTTCTAATTTCCCACACAAGCACAACTGTTACCTTTGCAAATTCTGGTGGTGGACTTTTCCCTCTACAGAGATTAGACAATGCCCATACTGCATTCCGGGTCATGGTCAGGCGGTTTTGCTTTGAAAATAACCTAAAAGCAAAATGCGTATTATTCAATTATGTAACAGACACTAACTTCCTGCCAACACACATAAATACTACTAATGCTACTGATAAATATACGTCTTCAAGCAGTTTTCCTCTAGAACTTTTGTAGCTAATTCAGAATGTAGCTAATTCTAATGTAGCTAATTCAGAAATGTCATCACTGGACTAAGACAGATGTGACTAAGGTTAAGTGTTTGAAGAAAAGCTTTGGACAAGACAACAACAAACAGTAGGAAGCCCCAAATCATTTCCAAAGATTTTCGAATCATTTCTTCTAAAGTATTTCATGTTTTTATTTATAAAACATAAGAAATAAAACTTACTGCAAAAGAGGAGGAAGGATATTGCAGTCCAAGACATAGTCCCTGCACATGGTACTATCTCCAGCAATGTTGCCAAGAGCCCAGACTGCCTATAACGGAAGTATTAATAAAGGACAGGTATATAATTTATTCCTTCATAAATCTCTCAAGAAAGATACCAATATATCACAATTACACTTGATAAAATTATATGGTAGTTACCCAATATTTTATACATGGATAAATATTAACACTCCTCCACTCACCAAGGAGTCAAACAGTTGTAGAATTGGGATAAGAATATTAATACTACTTTTAAGTTCAAATAAACAGAAGTATAACACACATGTCAGCAAATCACTATTATCTTTATATGGAACCTCATGCCCCCCCCCCCCCCCAAGCAGCACTCCAAGTAACACCTGACTGATACAGGACAGAAATTCAAATGACTTAATCAAAGAACAACAATCAGACACAGATAACCTCATTAACCTTGGGGTGAGGGATATAAGTATTCTTATAATGAGGGTTCTATGTGTATTCATACATGTCAAAATTCAACTGTGCAGAATAAATATATGCAATTCACTGTCAAATATACCTTTAAAAACCTGTGAAAGAAAATCACACTCTTTTAGCAGCAATCTGTTGGTACAAATTTCATAAAGCTGGCATCAACCTTCCAAAAGTCCATGTTTTCTATGGCTTTTCCTGGACACAGTGGCAGAAACCTGCTACTGCGGTCACACTAAACTGAGAGATCTCCGCAAGATAAATTTGTATGTCAGTAACCGGTTACATGGCCTAAAAAAGTATTATCTACAGAATTAAAGAATTCAGGACTTATTTTTAGGGATGAGCACAATGGCTCAACTGGCTCATCTTCCTCCTGGCAAGCACCAGGATCCCATATGGGTGCCAGTTCGTGTCTTGGCTACTCTACTTTCTTTCCCACTGCCTTCTTACAGCTTGGGAAAGAAGTGGAGGATGGCCCAAGTCCTTAGGACCCTGCACCCATGTAGGAGACCCAGAAGAGGCTCCTGATCCCTGGCTTCGGATGAGCTCAGCTCCAGCCAGTGAGGTCATTGGGGGAAATGAACCAGCAGATGGAAGACCTTTGTCTCTTGTTCTCTCTGTATATCTGCCTTTCAAATAAAAACAACAACAACAAAAAAAATTAAAAACAAATTTTCTGTTTCATCTGTTTCTCTTCCTTTTCATTTCTTACCTGTTCCTGAACATCTTCAAACTCCGAGCTGAGCAATTCTATGAAGATAGGCACAGCTCCTGCTTGAATCACAATCCGGGTCTGAAGAGAATTTCCTGAAGCGATATTTGTCAGTACCCAAGCAGATTCAAACTAGAAAGATAAAAATAAGTTCCATTATCTTACTATAACTTTTAGATTTGACTTTTTTCTAACAATAATACAGTTGTTTCACACAGAGTCTAATAAGAGCATCATTCACATACAGCCTGTCAATTGAACACTGTCTGAATTTTAAAAGAAGAATGCTGAGAAGAAATATTTCGGCTGAGAGAAATGATCAGTGTCTAAACTTTCAGCTCAAGGGTGATTTGACATGAGATCATAAAAAGGTAAGGGAATGCTCACATGCTAACACAGAACTATGTCCCAAGGTATAAACAGGAAGAAAAAGAAAGTAACACACAGTGTGCATCAGATAGTATCACCTTAAAATGTTAAAAAGTCACGCATTAATTCACTGTAGATTATCTAAGTGTCACAACAAATTATAAACATTTTTGATACCCACTTAGAAGAGATGTGGGGTTACAAGGACAACAGGGTGGGAAAAACTTCTCACTGAAACGCCTTACATGACTTTTGGCCTTGTATCACACATAATAAAAAAATAAAATAGTTTCTATAGGATGGACAAGGTGAAATGGGGACAGGACATTAGTGCAAAATGGGTAAAACACAATCACAGTGAAGGAGCAAAACATATTTTAAATACTGAGCAGGTTAAAAGAAATTAGAGGCATAAAATTAAAGGACAACTTAAACACCTAAGTGCTGGGCCCAGCAGTGTGGCCTAGACAGGCGGCCTCCCGGCTGTCGCTGCCGTGCTTTCGGACGCCTGCCCCTAGGCTGGGTCACCGACTCTGGAGGAGCCCTCTCTGTGTCCCGGGCTGTGTGGGGGAGCGGGGAGGACCCGAGTGTCCTGTGTCCCAAGGAGGCTGGCGTGATCTGCATGTCAGGTTTTGCTTTGGGAAAGGCGGTTGAAAAAGGAGGCCAAAATTATGATGGACTTCTTGTACTCTGCCCTCATAGAAGTTATGGGTAATTAAGAGCGTTTCGTCTGCCAGCAGCTCCACTTCCTATCCGGCTCCCTGCCTGTGGCCTGGGGAAGTAGTCGAGGATGGCCCAAGGCTTTGGGACCTTGCACCCGTGTGGGAGACCCGGAAGAAATTCCTGGATCCTGGCTTTGGATCGGCATAGCATTGGCCGTTGCGCTCACTTGGGGAGTGAATCATCGGATGGAAGATCTTCTTCTGTCTCTCCTCCTCTCTGTATATCTGGCTTTCCAATAAATAAATAAATCTTAAAAAAAAAAAAAAAAGCCACCTAAGTGCTTCCCGTAATTTGAGAAGGTATTAAATGAAGTACAGAGATGAGTTTATTTAAGGGACCAGGCATTTGTGACGTGGTAGATAAAGCCACTGTATTTGATGCTGACATCCCATATGGGCACCAGTTCAAGTCCTTGGGTCCCTGTCACCCACATGGGAGACCCAGAAGTAGTTCCAGGCTCCACATGGCCAATCTCAGATTGGTGCTGCCGCAGCCCCTGCAGCTTCTTGGGGAGTGAACCAGCTTAAGAGAACTAACACCCAGCATCCTAAGCTGGTGTACAACTCTAAAGTCCATCTGTGGTTTCCTTTCTGAGACACACCCATAACACTGGCATACGTTTTGGGTCTTAATGGCAGGAAATGTGAAATAAAAGTACAGGGTGGTTCCTAAAATTCAAGTTTATTTTGCTAAGAAAGTTAAGCAAACCAAAACACAAGCTGGGAGTATAAAATCAAACTGTCTCATCAGAGGTAGGCTTAAAGCTCAATCAACAGCAGAAAGCAAGTCAATGAACGATCATTTTGAGGCCAGGTGTTCGGCCTGTTTTTGGCAGCAGTTAAAATGCTCATATCCCTTGTAAAGTGCCTGCGATCATTAATAGCTGACTGGATTGGCTGACTGATTATTTGGAGACTTTATTTATTTTGATTGGAAAGATCTACAGAGGAGGAGATACAGAATGAAAGACCTCCATCCACTGGTCCACTCCCCAAGTGGCCACGATGGCCGGAACTGAGCCAATCTGAGGCCAAGAACTTCTTCTGGGTCTCTCATGCAAATATAGGGTCCCAAGGCTTTAGGTCATCCTGAGCTTGTTTCCCAGACCGCAAGTACGGAGCTGGACAGAAAGTGCAGCAGCTGGGATACAAACCAGTGCCCATATGGGATCCTGGGCACATACAAGGCAAGAACTTTAGCCACAAGGCTACCGCGCCAGGCCCTTGGCTTTGCTTTTGACTCAGTTTGATGCTAAGATCCTGGCTGGCAGACAGTGGAGATAGCTCAAGTCACTAGGTTTTTAACACCTGTATAGCAGAAATGGACTGGATCTGATTCCTTCCATCGGCTCCTGGCCTGGGACTGTTGCAGCTATCTGGGCAATGAACCAGCGGATGAGTGTGTACACACTCCGCTGCTCTGTTCTGCTCTCTCTTAAAGAAACAAATAAATAAGCTAATTATGAGGAAGAGCAATCTTGAAAGAGTATGATCAACATACATACCTATCTGTATCAAAGAATAGAAGTATTATAATGAGATTGTGATGCAAAATACATGGTAGTAAATAAGGAATATATGAAATAGTTATAGTTACAATGATTAGGAACATGAAAAAGGAGTGACAGTTTGAAAACACGATTAAAAAAATGGAAAATCAGAACATCTATCAAAATAATAATGTCCTATAGCTATGTAGTATTAAGATGATAACATCTGAGTACAAAGACTGAAGAACAGAAATCAAAAAGTAATCTTCCTATGATCAGGGAAAGAACAGCAAGTCACCAAAAAAATTATCAGATTTACACAAACTTAAGGCATTATGAGTAAACATCTGTGGGGGAAGTTAAAGCCCCAGATGCAATACCAGCATCCTATAGTAGAGTGCCAGTACAATCCCAGCTATACCACATCTCTTCTTTTTCTTTTTTTACATTTATTTTTATTAGAAAGGCAGATTTACAGATAGAAAAGAGAAAGAGAAAGAGATCAGATCTTGAACTTCATTCCCCAAATGGCCACCAATGGCCAAAACTGAGCCAGGAGCCAGAAGCTTCTTCCGGATCTCACATGTGGACGCAGGGGCACAAGGACTTGGGCCAGCCTCTGCGCTTTCCCAGGCTCATGGATGGAGTTCCTGACTCCTGGCTTCAGCCCAGCCCTAACTGGCTGTTGTGGCCTTTAGGGAATGAACCAGGAGACCCTTGTCTCCCGCTCTTAACTCCTCCCCTTGACCCCAACAGCCACTCTCTGTAACTCGTCTTTCAAATAAATAAATTTTCGTTAAAAAAAAAATCATACACAGGACACATACTACTTTGCAATTATCATCTTGTGAAATTCTTTATCTACACACATGTGTCTGTAACACACTAGCGCATACTTATGAAAAGGGGCAGGTGGTGGGATAAAGTTCTCCCCTTGGAGGGGAGGGGAGACCCACTGCCTATGAAACTGTGTCATAAAATAAAGGAAAAAAGTTCTCCCCTTGAGTACAGACCCAGCTGACAGAGAAAGCAACCATCCATGTGTCTTTAGCATTTATACATACACACATATATATACATACATATATATAAAATGCAGATGCATTTTGAACTATATAACTATCTTTGTCACAGACTGTATTTTAGTCTGTATTTCACTAAGATAAATTATCTTTTGTAATTTTTTGCTTTTACAGCTTTGGATTAGATTTTAATGTGAAGTAAGAGTTCTGAAACAGGAAAGCCCAGAATTAATGAGAAAAGCAAATGCACAAAGCTGGGAGACTAATTTCGGTAATCACAACTCAAAAGAATATTAGTGACCTGATAAAAGAATCTAAGAAACAGTATCACCCAAAGGAGCAAACAGTGGTCAAATATAAAGCCTTCACTTCCTTCGCTTTTCAACTATTATGTTCTTAGTATCCCAAGAATAACATCATATGGAAACAACCTATCAAGCAGCTGTAGCTATTTATAAACTCTAACTCCACTATTATTTATTTCACACTGTCCAGGACTTGCTGCAGCTGAAATCTGCACATTTGAGATTGGATGTTTTTTTTCCTCTCTCATCCTCTACCTTCCGGTGCTCAGTTCCTTCAATAAGGAAAGTGAGAGTTCAAAGCTGAAGTACTTCTGACCTCCTATCAAGTTTCCCACTCCAGGTTGAGGTACGCCTGGTTCCCTTTCTCCACTTGGATCAGGACTCTGTTGCTGACCACCTTGTCGGTTCCACTCTGGCTCCTAGCAAATGCCAGGCTCACCTGGAGAGCAAGTGAAAAGAAAGGCTCACATCAGAAAAGTAAACCCAGATATCAAACTCTGCAGAGAACAGTGCCTGAGTCCTCTGAGCGACCTTCCGGCAAAGGCAGAGATCAATGGAGATGGGAAAGACACAGCAGGATGAAGGATTATTGCAGTTTATCACATTGGGCTTTGAGGAGACAAGAAATGCAGGAAAGGGGGAAGCTATGCCAACTTAATTCAAATTCTAATACACAATTTTCAGAGGTGTGCCCATATCAAGGTTGGAAATGGAGGCAACTGGCCTATTTCTAGGCGTTGTGATGTTTCTTTCAGGTTAGGGAATACACCATCTTGGCACTGTTAGGCAGTGCAGACACTGGGTCTGGACTCAAAAAACAAACTAGGCCCAAGAATAAAACACAAAGCAGACGAGTCTCATGCCAAGGGTTCAAGTGTGGCTGAGACCTCGCTGTCACCGAGCTTTACAAACACACAGCTCACGGCACCACCTGCTGCCCAAAGCCTAGATCCCCATGTCCCTCTCCGACTGAGGGCCTGCAATGCCCAAAGCAAATTATATCTACCTCCCAGGTTTGGGGTGCCTCACTGATTTTGGAAGCTAGAAAGACAGACCCTTCACTAGATTACTAGCTCTTCATCTACACAATAAGAAATAAGTTGGTCCACCAAATTTATTAGTGAGTTATGTCACCAAATCGCCTTTGGTAGGTAGGGGAGGGGAAAAGATTCTGGAAAAGAAATGGCAAAGCCTTATTTCAAAGAGTCACTACTCCTATTTCTAGGAAGCAGGTAGGATTACCAAGAAGGCCAGTATTCTCCAGGAAGACAGAAGCTTTTCCAGCTTCTGAGATGGCCAAGGTTACCCATTAGTCACATAAAGGACACCACACTGTGCTTAAAAATGCACAGAAGAAAAGCTGGAAATGACACCTGCTGGATAATCAAACATGTTTTCTGGCTATTTCACTGTTTTAGAATATGTAAGGTAAAACTCGTAAGGTGGTCACTTCTAGAGGGACCATCTTTAGATCTTTTAGCCTTTTATTAGTTTGCACGGAACGAAATTTTTAAAATTTGGACAGAAACAAATTAGAGATTTCTGAAGGTTTTTACCTTTTTGTGTTATGATGTCAGATTTTTACCTTTATTGTTTATGTAAGAAGTTATAGCAGTACTGACTCAAGATAGGATTTACTTGTGTCAACCAGGAGAGGGCGCTGAGAACATAATGCTCTCTTTTGACAATACAAAACGGAAAAACACATGGCTAACTTTTTTTTTAATTTTAGATCTGGAAGTTAATATCATCTTTCATTAGTGTATTAAGAAGCTAGACCTCTACGACCTGTTAATAACTGCTAGATCCAGAAATAAACTGAGTTATCTCTTAACTCCTCATTCTCAGAGACAAGATTTAAAAGACAGTTTTCAGAATGAATAGAATGATACACATCCCTGCCTCCCTCTTCCTACAAAGTACTTTAAGAGATAAACTGCAATAAGGCACCTCAGTGGGTCTTCCTGGATCTCTGGGCAAGCTGCTTACAAGGACTCAGGCTCTGTTCTCTGCAGTGTCGAGTGCTGGATTTCCTCTCTTTTTTAAGTCTCTCTCTCCTTGCTCTCAGGGTGAAGGTGATCATTCAGGTTTCTGGTGATCCTGGCCTTGGATGGGGACCAGAATTACAATTCAGGAGGCAGCTAGCAAAACAGAATCTTAATTCAAATGAACATGGGACTGGTAAATGTCGAACTGGAGAAGAAAAACTGAAAGGACATCCAAGTACTCTACCTTTTCTGGATTTCCTGCTTTTCCTCGGGAAGGGAGTCATCACTGCAACAAGGATGTGAAAGAAGGAAAACAGAGGGTAGGAGAGGAAAGGAGAGCAAATCTCACAACAGAAGCATCAAGGCTTACGGACACCCGACAGCAGCCAGGTCAGAAAGGAACCTGGGGCCAGTGGCCATTGCTTACAGAAAGGCCCCAATTCAATGTGATAGCAGCCGGAAGAGAGACAAACATAAGGGAGGGGTAGGAGGTAAAAGTGAACTATCATCAAATTAACTTGCTATTGACAAATGGTTGCTCAGAAAAATAATCTCACTTTGTGATCTACTTGGCACTTAACCAATTTTTACACTTAGGGTCCCTCTGAAGGACCTGCACCCTTGCCATGAGAACTAATTGTAGCAATTTAGGGATCACAGGTATGTCAATAACAGATACTGATTCAGTTGGCAACTTAGAAGAAGTCTAGTTACTGAAAAACAACCAGTGTACTAAAAGTCCAACTGTATTCAGGGGAAACAATACAGCTTAGTAACCTGCAAAGTGAGTCAACTGACATTTGGTTCCCTTTATTATAAAAACTATCCAATCCAGATGTTAGCGATTTCCTCCGGGAATCCCTATAGGCTTGAGTATTTAAGAACTGAACTGACATAGCAGAAAGGACAGATCACCGGCAAGGCTATGTCCTTGTCAAGTCTTCTGCAGTAGGGGGAACCAGGCTTGGGAATCAAGGACTCTGATCTGGCCCACATTAGAATTACTCTAAAAACACTAACAGAGCTTAACACTTCCTTACATCAAACGTCGTGCAGCCTGTACTTAGGTTTCTATCTAAAATGGAACCTCTTACACAAGCAATTCCTCATGAGAACAGTATTACCACAAATCATGATAAACATGGTACATTATCAAAAGTGACACAAATCCTGAGGATGCCTACATGTTAACAGAGCTATCAAGGTAACTTGCAATGTAGTTGTAAGAAATACTATTATAAACATAACCTTTGTAAACATTTAAAATAAGTAACAAACTTGTATTTTAAAATAAGAATTCACAGTAAATCAAGTTACTAGGCAAGAATGAAAATGGTTCGCACCTGCAATGTACAATTCTCTTTACGTTTGAGGAACTCCACAAACCTGGCCACCACTCCTGGAGTGCTGATAACTTCATCAATAGGAGGGTTAGGCTCTGTTTCCCCACAAAACAAAAGAAGAAAAACAGCCCTTTGATTTCAATGCACACTTTTTATATATCAAAATTACTTCATAACACTCCTCCTCATTCATTGTCTATTTCTTTCATGCTGGAAATCTACTCCCAAAAAATAATAAAATGGGGTTCACTGTGTTGAGATGCGACTACTCTGAAGTTTCACAACAAAGTTAATCTTTAACATGAGAATGAAGGATGGTCACATTTTGAAAAATTAAAAATGTCTCCAATATATTAGAAATCTTACAAAGCAGGGGAAAATAATATCAGATACCTAGTACCAGAATTTGCTAATTTCCTTCTGGCCCCTTCCTGAACCAGATGTGGCTTATGTTTAAAAAAAAAATTGCGGGCCCGGCGCAGTGGCGCAGTGGTTAAGGTCCTCGCCTTGCACACCCAGGATCCCATATGGGCACCGGTTCTATCCCGGCAGCCCCGCTTCCCTTCCAGCCTGTGGCCCGGGAAAGCAGTCCAGGATGGCCCAAAGCTTTGGGGCACTGCACCCATGTGGGAGACCCGGAAGAGGCTCCTGGCTTCGGATTGGCATAGTATCAGCCATTGCGCTCACTAGGGGAGTGAATCATCAGACAGAAGATCTTCCTCTCTGTCTCTCCTCTCTGTATATCCGCCTTTCCAATAAAAAAATAATAAAAATAAATCTTTAAAAAAATTGCATTTAATGAGTTTCATGTGCTTCAAAATTAACTTAGCACTGGTAGTGGTTAAGCAAAAATCAGCAACGATTTCCTCAGCCTGACTTTGCAGGTTAAGTTCATGTTCATCTATGACAATACAGTGCCCTATAGACAGAGCCACTCAATAAAAACTTCAGAGGTAACAAACCTCACGAACAACGTCAGGAACAGATGTAACAAGTTTTAGTTTTTGAGGAAATGCACAAAGATCCAAAAATGACAGCTACATCACAGGACTAACTGGGAGATTCTGAACCAAATCCATGCTTCACTAAAAGGAGATTAACAACTGGCTCAATGCTAATTTGGATAGGGCTAGAATGACATGCCCTTTACCTAACTCCACATCCCATCTAGCTCTCTGCTTGTGGTCTGGGAAAGCAGTGATGGATGGCCCAAAGCCATGGGACCCTGCATCCACATGGAAGATCCAAAAGCTCCTGGCTTCAAATCGGCTCAGTTCTGGCTGCTGAGGCCATTTAGGAAATGAACCAGCGGATGGAAAATCTCTTGTCTCTCCTACTCTGTAAATCTGTTTTTCCTCTAAAAATAAAAAGATCTTGTGCTCGCTTCAACAGCAAATACACTAAAAATAAATAAATCTTAAAAAGAAAGCCCATGACTTTACTGCCAAAATCTTACAACAGTTCATAAAGAAAAGCATTAATGAGTTTAGTCTGCTGAAAACAGAATAAGCCATTACCGTATCACAACTAGCAAAATAACTTATGTTTCCTTGCATCTTGCTAGCTCCCTTATCCCACCCTCTAACAAACCACAGACCTGGAGCACTGTATTCTAATCACCATATTGTCAAAAAGGGTGCCAGCAAATGATTACACTCAGGAAAGCAGCAGACTCCTGAAAAGACAATTTCCTTTTTTCTTTTCATGGCGGTAGGCTTTGATTTCAGCTAACTTCAAGGTATATATTAGTTTCAGTAACATGAATGACTAAACAACCATACAATACTATTGATATGTTTAGGTATCTGGTAAGAACATTTTAAAATGATTCAGAATTCTTTTCACTAGTCTAATGTAACAAACACATTCCAAATAAAGAAGTTATCTTGCCCACCAACAAATATATATACTTAACGTTCAATGATAAATTACTAACATTAAAATTATTTATTTTTTCCTTAAAAAAAAAAAGCAAATTTCTCAATCTGAATTACCATGACATGTTGCTACTATAATTTCTAATATATCTAAACAATGACAATAATGCAATTATACACAATTTGTAAGTATACATATCTGTATGCATCACGTTATTTTATTAACATATTCCAAAACATATAATTTATGATATAAAAAATAATAACAGGAAATGAATGTTTACTAGAGAGATTAAAAAACATTCAGTTCTCACCTTTTGAAAGCAGTTTTCTGAATTTTTGTGTGGCAGAAAGCTGCTGCTCTGGGCTATTGGAAAATATCATTTCAATCATGTCAGAAGTAATAACACCACCCTGAGATCACAAACAAAAAACAAACATAATTAAACATCAATCTTAGCTCAAAGGAAAATAAAAGCATAAAATTACAGCAAAGTTACTCAGAATAATCCAAATATTACATGAACTTAGGACAATCTTTACAGGTAGTTTAAGTCAAACTCCTTGTAATACTCGAATATAAGGGAAAGTAATGCCAGCAGGAAATACTGAGACCAGGGGCTTAGGAGTCTTGTCCTTGCTCATCACATGGCTAGCTATGTTATACAAACTACATGTCAGCTTGACAGCCTTTAAAAAGCCCCCATATCTCACATCACCCATCACCCTATTTCAGTCCCGTTAAGTTCTTCTTGGTTAGCTAGTTATTGTCTAGGCTCCCTAAGTATACTGGAATCGCCTTGAAGGCCAAGACCCTGCCTATCTATGTACTACTCAACAGACATACATCTGGAGCTGATATGTTCAATATTGTTAAATTACAACAATAGTCCTGTAAAATTCTTAATTTTAGCCACTGCTAAACAAAACAAATGACACTTAAAACTTGTAAGATTTCTATTCTCTTGTTTTATTCAAGTTTCTTTTTAATATCTCACCATTTTTTTATTAGAGCTTTGTATTTCCTACCACCACCCATCTTCAGTATTATAATTTATTTCTTCTCAGAATCATGTGTGATAATGAACAAAATTCTTATTTTATGCAGGGTTATAACCAATTAAATCAACCGTGAAAGGGCCTCCAAGGACACAGGCACCCAATCCCAGAGTGTTGGCCCGTTTGGGTCCTGGCCCCTCTGCTTCTGATCCAACTTCCTGCTAACATGTCCTGGGAGGCATTACTTGGGGCCCTGCCATGCATGTGGGAGACCAGGATGGAGCTAAAAGCTTTAAAAGCCAAGACTAAGGGGTCTATTAAAAAAAAAATTCAAGACTGAAACCTCAAGTTACAGCCACCAGCTTGCCATATAAATTTCAAACGTACTAGCTCCTAATCACAAACCTTTTTATTAAAATCAATCTCTCTGCCTAATATAATCCATCAAGCGCTTCTCATTTTAAAATAAAAATTGGAAAATTAACTTCCTGAAGAATATGCTACAAAATAACTGTGTCTGTTAACACTTTGACCCCAAGAAAATTGCATTCCCATACCAACTCCAAAATAAGTCTGATTCACATTAATCAGAGATCGTTGCTACTGTCTGCAAAAGATCCAAGGAAACACAAATATTCTTAAAAAAAAAAAAAAAACAGATAAGTAAAAATCAATTAACAGTAGTCACCATGGGAAAAAAAGAGAAACAAACAAAAAAGATAGCTTTTTAATGTAATTTTAAAAGGTTACAAAATACTTTAAAAATTCTGATCAGTGATCACTCAGATACTGATTCAGAATCAGTATTTTTAATTTTATACTTTAATTGAAATGCATAACAAACTGATTCCTTTAAAGTATCATGTTCTACTTAACTTTTAATCAATAACGCTGTAATTACATTTTAACTCTTGGAAAGATAGTCAAATCACCTTTTGATTTATTTTTGAGTTGACAGATACTTGTTCAGCACATTTAATTCCTTTGTAAGTTTTAGAGATGTATTAATCTTCATATTTATTTTTGCTTGACTATATCCAAAAAATATAATAAATTCTTAACAAAATATGAGATGTATTGTGTGGCTTCTTAAAGATGAAATGCCAAGTACTTTTTGTAGCCATCTAACCTTTAAAACAAAAAAGAGATCTCTTTTCTTCTTGACAGAATCACTGGAAAGACCGCTTTTATCGTCTCACTTACTGGGGCCATCTCCATGTTATTAATCTGGGCCTCATGAAAGCCTCCATCTGACATAACTTCCTCTTCTGTTTCTTCTTCCGCTGTGGCAACATTTCTTCGTTTGAATAACTGAAAAATAGAGGACTTTTAGTCATGTAATACTAAAACAAGGGACTAAAACATCCAAACTCTAAGCAGCCTTCCCTCAAGAGGGAACAGTGATGGAGTTGTTGGAAAATCATTTTTAAAATACTTAAGCTTTGCTGTCTTCAGCCTTTCTTGACAGGAAACTACTTCAGATTTCATCCTATAATCTAATACATAGAAATCTTATGATGTGCTATAGTGAATACCTGATGAGGTAAAACTTACTAAGAGAGGTCTGATACTGCAAGATATAACCAGTTCAAGGTTAGGAAAAGCAATCAGGACATGCCTGGCCATTCCCCTGCATCCTTTAATGTAAAGTAAGCCACAAGATAATCTCAATACATGAGGAAAAATAAAAACAAAAATACCACAATAATGTTACCCATCTTGGAAGGCAGAATGAAGCTTTTCCTTCCGGCTGTTCAGCCACCAGTGACAACTGACAACTGTGAACATTACCTTTAATTGTACCAGCAAAGTGCCCAGAGCACTGGATGGCACCATCCTGAACAACTACAGAGCAGGCAAAAACTGATAAAATGTGTTTCAGACACTGCAACATTAGGCAGTGAGCTAAAATGTAAAAAGCCAAGAAGAAGAAAATAAAGGAAAAAAAAGATCTTCCCCAATGAACCACCTAAGCAAGAGCTTCCAAACTGCGGGCCAAAAGGCTGACACCAAAACAGCTCAGAGGGGCCTTGAGTTGAGCAGAGTTCAGAATTGAGACTTGGATATCTAGAATCCACAGGAAGGGTAGTGCAGAGGGAAGACCTACACAGACAGCACTTCACAGATGCACAGAAGACAGAAGCAGGAGGAACACTACTCAACTCAGACGAGGATGCCAGCGCCATCCCAACACCAAAATACCTTACCAAAGATTTCTAATTTAAAACAGTTCTTTTTACAGTTGGTCACATCCAGCTATGGAAAAAAAAAAAAAATACAAGGCAAACACACATACTAAAAGGTTAAAAAACATGATCAAAAAAAGGGCAAGTCGGGCCCGGCGCGGTGGCGCAAGTGGTTAAGTCCTCGCCTTGCACGCCCGGGATCCCATATGGGCGCCGGTTCTAATCCCGGCAGCCCCGCTTCCCTTCCAGCTCTCTGCCTGTGGCCTGGGAAAGCAGTCTAGGATGGCCCAAAGCTTTGGGACCCTGCACCCACGTGGGAGACCCGGAAGAGGCTCCTGGCTTCGGATCGGCATAGCATCGGGCCGTTGCGCTCACTTGGGGAGTGAATCATCGGACGGAAGATCTTCCTCTCTGTCTCTCCTCTCTGTATATCCGCCTTTCCAATAAAAAATAATAAAAAATAAATCTTAAAAAAAAAAAAAGGGCAAGTATCAGATAAGCAGATCTAGAAATGCAGGGATACTGGATTATGAGAGCAAGAAGTGAACCAGCAGACAGAAGATCTTTCTCTGTCTCTCCTCCTCTCTGTATATCTGCCATCCCAATAAAAACAAATCAATCTTTAAAAATAAAAAAGATAGAATGAAATACTGCTACGTGTCACAACATGCATTAATCTTCTGAAAAGAGAAAGACAATAGTCACAAAAGAACATATACCATGTGACTATATATAAAATGTCCAGAATAGATTAGGGCAGGATTGGAGCAATAAAAAATAGCAAGAAAGGAGAGGGACTTCTAGTGAGCAGAGTTTCTTTTTGAGTTGTTACAAGTCTTCTCAATTACAGGCCTGGCATGTAGCACAGTAACTTAGACTGTCTGTGTACCAAACTCAACATAGGAGTGCCAGTTCAAGCCCAACAACTCTCGTTTCAAAATCAATTCCCTGTTAATACAACAGGGAAAGCACTGGAAGTCAGCCCTGGTGCTTGAAACCCTGCCACCTAGGAGAAACATTCAGATGGAATTCCTGGCTCCTGGCTTTGGCTGGCCCAGCCCTAATCACTGTTGTCATTTGTCAAGTGAATCAACAGCTTGAGCATAAATTGCTGTCTAATTGCCTTTCAATTAAATAAACAAATCTTATTTAAAAATCGCTCAGTAACTATATAGCTGTGAATGAAAACCACTGAACTGTACACTTTAGATGAGTGAGCACTTGAATTCTCTCTCAGCAAAGATCCTTTGAAAACATAATGGACAGGGCCTAGCATGATAGTGTAGCGGTTAAAACCCTCGCCTTGCACGCACCGGGATCCCATTTGGTCGCCAGTTCTAATCTCGGCGGCCCTGCTTCCCATCCAGCTCTCTGCTTGTGGCCTGGGAAAGCAGTTGAGGTCGGCCCAAAGCCTTGGGACCCTGCACCTGTGTGGGAAACCAGGAAGAGCTCCTGGCTTCGGATCAGCTCAGCTCCAGCCGTTGTGTTCACTTGGGGGGTGAACCATCAGATGGGAAGATCTTCCTCTCTGTCTCTTCTCCTCTCTGTATATCTGCCTTTCCGAATAGAATAAATAAATCTTAAAAAAAAAAGAAAACATAACGCACAAAAAAATAATAGACAATTTAAAGTTAAATATTAGATGATGGTTTTAAATAACAAATATTTGGAAGTACAAACCACAAAATGGCACAATGTCCGTTAAGAGACTGTGTAAGTTCAAAGCACACAATATAAATCCTAAAGCAATCACAAGGAATATTTGTACACTTCATAAACTACATGGTGTCCATAAGAAGCAGAATTCTTTTCTTTTTTCTAAGATTTATTTCATTTTTATTGGAAAGTCAGATATACAGAGAGGAGAGAACACGCCAGGATCCCATATGGACGCCGGTTCTAATCCCAGCAGTTCCACTTCCCATCCAGCTCCCTGCTTTTGACCTGGGAAAGCAGTCGAGGACGGCCCAAGGCCTTGGGACCCTGCACCCACATGGGAGACCTGGAAAGAAGTTCCTGTATCCTGGCTTCAAATCAGCGTAGCACCAGACGGAAGATCTCTCTGTCTCTCCTCTTTGTATATCTGACTTTGCAATAAAAATAAAATAAATCTTAAAAAAAAAAAAAGAATTTACTACTCAGCAAAAAATACATACATACCAAATTTAACTACACTAACAGGACAGATGCTAAGGGTATGGGCAGTATAAGGACTTAAAAGTTGGCTAACCACGATAGGTTATATTGTTCTTTGGGGCACTGTCCAGACACTCATTTGTTTTGTTTATTTAGTTTGTTTGTTTTTTAAAGATTTACTTATTTTTATTAGAAAGGCAGATATACAGAGAGGAGGAGAGACAGAGAGGAAGATCCTCCCTCAATGGTTCACTCCCCAAGAGAACGCAATCCAAAGCCAGGAGCCAGGAGCTCCTCCGGGTCTCCCACGTAGGTGCAGGTTCCCAAGGATTTGGGCCGTCCTCAACTGCTGTCCCAGGCCACAAGCAGGGAGCTGAATGGGAAGCAGGGCCGCCAGGACTAGAACCGGCGACCACATGGGATTCCGGGACGCGCAAGGCGAGGACCTTAACCACTGTGCCACCTTGCCAGGCCCATAGACACTCATTTGTATTTGTGGCCCCACTGTGGCCACAAATGCTCTCTAAGAAGAGCATACTAAGAGATCTTCCTCAGGCTAACCAGTCAAAATCAGTCCAACGCACTGCAGCTATTCAGAAACCTTCAGAAGAGCTCAAGCTTCATTATAATCTAATTTTCATGCTGAATGACAAAATTTCACACTAACAGAGATACGTGACAATATACAAATATTATCCATCAGTATAAATCATATTGGGTCTAAGGAGAGCTGAAAAGTGGTTCACTCAAGAAAGCTGCTGGCTAGCTTTCATGTATTTTAGCATTATTCAACTTATTCAACTATGTGCATATATTGCATGAAAGTATTATTTTTAAAAAGGAAAAACTGCCCAAACAATCATAATTTGTAGACTATCTTATTCATAGGCTACAAGCTGTCTGGAGTTATTAACCAAATTATCAATGAAAAAAGTTCACTGTAAGTCTATCAACTTGGTCACATCAAAAATTATAACTAACAGTACCAGGGAGCACTCAGGTTTACACAAACATTTTATCCACCTACCTACTCACACTGGATTAGCAAGCTTACTAATTCAAAATATTTTAATTATACTGTCTACTTCAAATACTTTTAAACTTTGGGGGTGGGGAAACCCAGCACGGTAGTCTAGCAGCTAACGTCCTCACCTTGAATGCACTGGGATCCCATATGGGCCTGATTCTAATCCAGCGGCCCCACTTCCCATCCAACTCCCTGCTTGTGGCCTGGGAAAGCAGTCGAGGATGGCCCAAAGCCTCGGGACCCTGCACTCACATGGGAAACCCAAAGAAGCTCCTGGCTTCAGATCAGATCAGCACCAGCCTTTGCAGCTGCTTGGGGAGTGAAGCAGAAGACAAAAGTTTTCTCTCTGTACCTCCTTCTCTCTGTAAATCTGCTTTTCCAATAAAAATAAATAAATCTTAACAAAGAAAGAAAGAAAGGAAAAAAGGAAGGGAACAATAGAGGGAGGAAGCGAAGTAAAGGGAAATAATTTTGCCTAGTGGTGAAGATACCAATGAAAACACACACATCATATATGGAGTGCCTGGGTATTGCAGGCTCCCAGCTGCCACCTGGCCCAGCTTTGGCTACTGTAGACTTTTGTTGTTGCTACTGTTTTTTTTTTTTTCTTTGAGATTTAGTCTGAAGCAGCCAAGACTTGAACCAGTGTCCATTTAGGATGTGAATGTCACAAGCACTATGCTACAACACCAAACAGTACTGCAGGCATTCAGGTAAAGACCCAGCAAGACACTTATAGCTCTCTTTCTGCCTTTCAAGTAAAATAAAAATGAAATTTTAAGGAAGCTGTAACAACGTTAAGTTCTTTGCAAAGGGGAAGGACTTACCTGCTCTTCCCTTTTCTGTTTGCGAAGCTGCAGTCCTTCTTCTTCCCTCCTCCTTCGCATCTCATCAGGATTCAGAGATTTGTTCTTATAGCTTTTGAGGCGAAAGTTCTCTTTTCCGGGGGTCGACATGATTTCTGTAAGACAGCAAAGAGAACAGTTGAGCTTACTGTCTTTAGTTCTACTATTCTAGGCGCTCAGCCTTTTAAACATACACACACCCAGATTCACTCAACAGAACATCCAAAATGGTTACTTTAACAATTTCAATTAAATATGTAATTCAACAAGTTTTTAGTGTAATCACAGCTGTATGCAACCATAACCGAGGTAAATTTTACAGCATTTCATTACCTCAAAAAGAAATACTGTGTTGTGTAGCTATCACTTCCAATCCAGACATTTCATCAGAGCATAAAACATGCAATCCTTTGCTACAGGAATTACTTAGCATATTTTCAAGGTTCAATCACTTTGCAACAAGTTATTAAAACTCTAGTCCAGGAAAGTCTGAGCAGTGGAGTGGAGCAAGTACCATGTGGCTGTGGCTGGGAAAACCGGTGCCACACCACGCTGCCTGCTGGGGATCCTAGAACCCCATCTATCGCTGCTGATGCGGGGAAGGTCCTGGGCTTGTCCAAGTCCGAGGTCTGAGAATTTCCTCTGTCCAGTGACCATGCCGGAGACGGATCTCAACGCCTATGGGCATGTTCTGGCATATGTCTCCACCAACCGCCACCATCTGGGTCTGGGAGTGTCCCGAATGGGGAGAACCTGGGCAACTCCCCTAGTGGGTCATAGCTCCTACTGATAACCACATGGTTCAGGCCTGGGTGTTGGGTGGGCTAGGCAAGGTAGCTCTGTCTATAAGTAAGTGTGTGAGTTAGTTTTGGAGGGGAACAGACTGGGCAGAGCTGAGCAAATGATAGCCCACTGGCAAGTACAGAAACCAGGATGGAGTGCAGGTCATGCTGGGCTAGGCTGCCATACCTACTGGTTTGCATGTACCAGGGATGAGAGCAGACTAAGCAGGACCAGGTTGCAGCATCTGTCAGTGAGAGCTGGGACTGGGGATCATCTGGACTACGCCAGGCTGTATCTTTCAAAGACAAGGGCCAAGACAGGAGAGACTATGCCAAACTGAGTCAGAGCAACCACTGGCATGTGCAGGATCTGTGACTGGGATCAGGCCTGGTTGGGGAGCTAAGGGAACACCCTGGCTGGGTTGTGGGTCCCACTGGTGAGCACAGGTACTGGAATGAGGGCTGCGATCCGGTCTGGACATGTCTGCAGTGCCCTTCGGCACAAGTGTGGACTGGGTCTAGCGTGCGCCAGATTGGGTTAGACTCCAGCACCAACTGGTGATCATCAGAACCAAGGTGGGTATAACAGGCTGGGCTAGGTGTCTGCCCCTGCTGAGCCATGCATGAGCTGTGTCTGGTTGTGGACTAGGCCTAGCTGGGCTGTAGCACCCAACATTAAGAACTGGAATGGGTGAGGGTCAGTCAGGAAAACTACTGTTCCTGCCAGGACAGGAGGTGGACTAAGTAGGGCTGGCCCATAAGCCCACCGTGGGTACAGATCTGGCATTGGGAGAGGTTCTGATGGAGGAGCTTGAGAAGCTCCTCTGTAGGGACACAGTCCCTGCAGGTGAGTGCAAGAACCATGATAGGGAGTAGCCCAGACCAGGCCATGTTACAGTACCCACAGGCTTACCTTTGGCTCAGGTCAGGGGAAAGACAGGCTAGGCCAGTCCATATCACCTGATGGCAAATATTAGAGCCAGAATGGCATGTGGGTCATGCCTGGTAGGGCTACAATACCAGCCAGTTCACATTAGGGCTGGGACTGGGTGCTTGGCAGGCCTGGCTAGGCCACAGTCCCCACCAGCATGAGCTGGAACTGGGGACATGCCGGACTGAGTCAGACTACAGCACTCACCAGCCATGCTAAACTGAGTTGGCCATGCCAGACTGAGCTGCAGTGCCAAACCAGCACATCTGAGACAAGGGGAAGAACAGGTGAACCCGGCAGGGGGCTGTAGGGAGCTCCCTGTGGGGTCACTAGTCCCAGTGTTAAGCATGAGAACTGGATTGGGAGCAGACCAGACTGGGCAGGGCTACAACACCTGGTAGCCTGCATATAAGCTGGATCTGGAACAAGCCAGGCTGCGCGGACTGTACCTACTGGTAGATGCGTAAGCCAGAGTGGGTGAGGGTTGATTGGGCTTTGCCACAGCATCAGCTGGCAGAGGCTGGCACAGGGGTAAGACTCTGTTGAGCTAAACTGCAGAACCACCTGGGAAGAACAAGATCCAGGAGTGGGAGTGGGCCCATTAGGGAAACAGTGGAGACCTCCCTCTTGGGTTGCCACTCCCACTGGTGAGCCTGAGAACCACGACTGCAGCAGGCATGGCTAGATAGAGTGGCACCCACCAGCACTTGCATGGGCTGAATAGTGGAGCTGGTTGGATTGAACTAGGCTTCAATGCCTACTGACACATGAGAGTTGAATGGGATATGGGAAAGACTGAAACAGTCTGCTGTACATACTGGCAAGCACAGAAACTAGAGCATGGGGTGGGTCTTGTGGGGCTTACTGCGGGTTGTTCTGACTAGGCTTCAGCTCCCACTAGTGTACGTGGGAACCAAATGTATGGTGGGCAGGGTCAGGCTGGACTGCAAGACCCAATGGTTTGCATAGAAGACAGGGCTGGAAACAGAACTGACCCAGCAATTGTAATTACCAATGTGTGCAACAGACTGTGCTAGATCCTGTATTGACAGGCATACATAAGAATCAGGTCTGGGAACATCTCAGATAAAGTTTTTGTGGAGATCCTCCCAACTGAACCAGTGGACTCAGAACCCCAATCACGGAGAATATTGCAGGTTCCATAGTCTGACGATGGAATGCAACTGTCAGAGCTGAACCTCCTTACTGGTTTAGACAGAACAGTGGATAGCATATCCAGGTGCACATGGAGGATATGGCAGTACACTGGAGTCTGCAGAGGACACCTGGTACCATAACAGAGGATGGAGGACAGAACAAATCAACCAACTACCCCAACCATGTGTTGGCAGTGAATACTTAGGCAAGCGGAGTCTCTAAGGTGGACTATGACAGTCAGTGGAGTCTAGAGAGATTGTATCGTGATTGGAGTGGCAAGATCAACAATAATACAGAACTTAAGGAAGTCACTTTGTGTTCCCTAGGCATGCTGAAGGTGTGTTAAGGATTCTCACACAGGGTTTAAAAATGCAGTCATTCTTATGGGGCTCTCAGGCAAGAAGAGTATGCTGTTCACTTTAAAATTGGATTATTTTTCTCTTTTTTATTATATTTTGGATAAAAAAATCCTTTATCTGTTACATGATTTGAAGTACTTTCTCCCATTCTTTTTCCTTTCTTGATGATATGCTATGAAAGACTTAAAAAAAAAAAAAAAGATGTATTTACTTGAAAGAGTTAGAGAGGAAGTAGCAGAAAGACACCATCCATTCACTGGTTCACTCCCCAAAAGTCAACAATGAGACTGGGTCATTCTTTTTAGGTTTACCACATGAGCAGGGGCTCAAGCACTTGGGCCATCTTCTACCGCTATTCCCAAGCCATTAGCAGGGAGCTGAACTGGAAGTGGAGCACCTAAAATATGAAAAGGTGCCTAAATGAGATACTGGATGCCAATGGTGAAGGCAGCAGCTTTACCCACTATGCCAGCCCCACAAGTGTCAATTTTGATAGAGTCCAAACCAACCTAGTAATTTTTTTTAATGCCCATGCTTTTGGTGTCATCTGAGAATCCTTAACTTTACATTGCCTTCTATTATTGTATAGTTTTTCCTTTTGCAGTTTCAGCTAATTTTTTTATATGGTACGTGGTAACTATCCAACTTCATTCTTACACATATGGCTGTCCATTTATCCAGCACTGTTGAAAAGATCATTTTTCTGATAGCGGTGCTGTAACATAGGTTTAGCCTCTGTTTTGATGCCAGCATCCCATATAGGCAATGGTTCGTGTTCCAGCTGTTTCACTTCCCATCCAGCTCCCTGCTGTGGCCTGGAAAAACAGCAAAGGGACAGCCCAGGACCCTGGATTGCTGTAACCACTGGAAGACCTGGAAGACTCCTGGATCCTGACTTTAGACCAGGTCAACTCTGGGCACTGCGGCCTTCTGGGAAATGAACAAAAGGATGAAAGATGTCCATTCTTATCTCTCTAAATCTCTCTATAAATCTGCCTTTCAACTAAATATTTTTAAAGGATGATTATTCTTTCTCTCCAGTGAATGGTCTTGGCACCTATTGTACTGTTTGTGTCTCCCTCAAATCCATACATTCATTAAGTCCTAGCTCCAAAAATGATGATACGTGAAGGTGCTGCCTCTGTGAAATGAATGGGATTAGTGCACTAACAAGAGACCCTCAAAGACTTGCTTTGTTCTACTAGGTGAAGACACAGTGAAAAGATACCCTCTGTGAAGGCCGATATCAGGTGGCCTTTCCCCATCCTTGGGTACTGAGATGGTTGAAAGGTTGGGTATGGCCTATCCCCTTACCTCTCCTCTATCCCCAGAAACGCAAATAGAAAGTTTGGAAACACTAATCACACCCACTTCTCCCTAAACAACTATGTAAATATCATCTTAACAACAAAAAAAAAAAAGAATAGGATTATCAGCCTGGTACAATGGTCTAGTGGCTAAAGCCTTGCCTTGCATCGCCAGGACCCCATATGGGCGTGCCAGTTTGTGTTCCGACTGCTCCACTTCCCATCCAATTCCCTGCTTGTGGCCGGGGTGGACAGTAAAGGACAACCCAAAGCCTAGGGATCTTGCAACCACATGAGAGACCCAGAAGAAGCTCCTGGCTCCTGGCTGCAGATTGGCTCAGCTCCAGCCGTGGTGGCCACTTGGGGAGTGAACCAGGGGCATCTTACTCTGGCTTTCCACGAACAGACTCCAAGAAAAGGAGCCCCTGAGCATGGCCCCTGTACGTCTGTACTCCTCACCCTCTATTCACTGCTTGGGTGAATCAGTGAAGATGGGAATGCTAAGATGCTTTGTACTTCTAATCTGTGTACGTTCAACAGTTGCAGGAGAGGTGAGGCCTAGCAGTAATGGAATGTAGG